AAATTTGACAACTTAGATAAAATGGTCAAATTCCTTGAAAAACAATTTAATAAAACAGATACAAGGAGAATACTCCTGTATCTGTTAAATAAATTAAATCTATAATTAAAAACTTCCCAACAAAGAAAATTCTAGATCCAGGTGACTTCATTGATAAATCTTTTCAAACGTTTAGGAAAGAAATTATACCAATCTTACAAAAACTCAGAGAATTGGGAGGCAAAGAATACTTCCCAACCCATTTATGAGGCCAGCATAGCTCTGACACTTAGGGTGACCAGCTGTCCTTGTTCGCCTGGGACTGGGGGATTCCTGGGGGGTTCCTGGGATGGGAACTTTCAGCACTAAGACCAGGAAAGTCAGAGGAAAGTCAGAATGAGTTAGTCACTCTGCTGACACCAAAAATCTGAAAAAGAAAATGAGAAGAAAGAGAAACAATCAGCCAAGCTCATTCACAAACAGGAATGCAAAAATTCTAAACAAAGTATTAACAAATTGAATCCAACAATAGATAGAAAGGATAACATACTATGACCAGGGAGGTTTTACCTTAGAAAAACAAGGTTGATTTAACATTCAAAAGGCAATTGATGTGAGTTACCTCATTCACGAAGAAGGAAAACAATATGATCATCTCAATAGACGCAGAAAAAGATTCGATAAAGTTCAACATCCGTTAAACTAAGCGGAGTGAAGAGGAATTTCTTTAACCCGATGAAGGATATCTACCGAAAAGTCACTTTTATTCAACACGGCACTGGAAGTCTTTGCCAGAACAATATGGCAAAGAAGAGGAAATAAAATTTATAAATATTAGAAAGGGAGAAGAAAACGGTCATTATTTGAAGCTTGCATAATTATGTATATAGAAAATCCGAAAGAGTTTACAAAATATTAGAATTAATAAGTGATCTCAGCCAGATTATTGGATATGATGGCAATAGAGAAAAATCAATTGTATTTCTATACACTGGCAACAAATGAATGGAAATAGAAATTATTTTTAAACAACAGCATCAAAAACATACAACACGCCACAACTAGAAGGACCCACAATGAAGAATATAATACAACTATGTACCGGGGGGGCTTTGGGGAGAAAAAGGAAAAAAAAAATCTAAAAAACAAAACAAAACAAAACAAAAAAAACATACAATACATAGGAATAAACTTAATGACAGTAGTACAAGAGCCTGGAAACTATGAAATGTCACTAAGAGAAATTAAATAAATAGGGAGATACACCGTATTCACGGAATGGAAGACTCAGTATTGTTGGAATTGCTCTGCAGAGTCAACATCATAATTCCAAAGTCACAGCAGGCCTTTCTTTGGTGGAAATTAGCATACCACTTTTTTATTGTTCTTGGTATTCCTTCCCTTTCCTTTTTTAAAGTCAATTTTATTGAGGTTTAATTTACACACTATCAAATGCACCCTTTCTAAGTGTTCAACTCGGTCAGTCTTGAAGATCTATACACCCATGTAGTCACCACCAAATCAGAGTGTAGGACATTTCCATCATGCCAGAAAGCTCCCTCCAACCCCAGCCTTGGGCAACTACTCATCTGCTTTCTGTCTTTATAGATCAATTTTACCTTTTTTAGAGTTTCATTTAAATAAAATCATACAGTATCTATGGTCTTGTGTCCGGCTTCTTTCAGTCAACAATGTTCTTTTAAATTCGTCCACGTTGTTTCATGAATCAGTGCTGTGTTCTTTTTTATTGATGAATGGTATCCCATTGATTGAATATACAGTCATGTGCTGCATAACGATGCTGCAGTCCACGATGGACCACATATACGATGGTGGTCCCATAAGATTAGTACCATATAGCCTAGGTATGTAGTAGGCTATACCATTTAGATTTGTATAAGTACAATTTACGATGTTTTCACAATGGCAAAATTGCCAAAGGACACATTTCTCGGAAGATATCCCCATCATTTAGTGACACATGTCTGCACCATAATTTTTGCATCCATTCACCAGTCGATGGACATCTGGATTCTTTTCAGTTTGAGTCCACTCTGAATGAAGCCACCAGGGACATTCATACACAAGTCTTTGTGTGGTCATACATTTTCATTTCTCCCTGGTAGATAGCTAAGAATGGATTTATCATATAGTCAATGTGTCTAACTTAATAAGAAACTGTCAAAATGTTTTCCAAAGTGGTTGGACCATGTATGAGAGTTCCAATTATCCCACAGTCTGGTCAAAATTTGGTATTGTCAGTCTTTTCAATTTTAGCTCTTCTGGTAAGTGTATTGTGGTATCACATTGCGGTTTAATTTACATTCCCCTGATGACTAATGATGTTGAATATCTTTTCACGTCCTCAATTAGCCTTTCACCTATCTTGAACCATTTAACCCATTTTTTAACCAGATTGTTTGGTTTCTTATTACTGATTATAAGACTATACATACACAATAGATACACGTGTATTATATTATATTCTGTACATTCTGGATACAAGTCCTTTGTCAGGTATATATGGTGACATTTTCTCCCAGTCTGTGGCTTGCATTTTTATTTTCTTTATAGTGTTTTTCAAAGAGCAGAAGTTTTCAATTTTGATCAAGTCCAATTTATCAATTTTCTTCTTTCATGATTCATAATTTTTATGTCCTAATAAAGTTTTGCAAACTCCAGCATATCAAAGAGTTTTCTCCTAGGTTTTGTATTAGAGGTTTTATAGTTTTTGCTTTTACATTTAGGCCCATCATATATTTGAGTTAATCTTTGCACATAATGTGAAGGTGGAGACGTATATTTTTCCCATATCCCTATGCAGTTTTCCAGTAGCATTTCTTGAAAATACTATCCTTTCCTCTAGTGAATGACATTGGTCCCTTTGTTGAGAATCAAATGACTACATATGTGGGTCTTTCTGCACTCTCCAGTGGCACGCTATGGCAACCTGATTTTTAAATGTATATGAAAAAGCTAAGGCATCGAGGAACCAAGGCAATCTTGAAGAGGAAGACAAAAATCATAGGACTTAACACAATAGTAATTTAAACCATGTAGTATGGGCACAAAAACGGACAAACCCAACAAGAGAACATAATAGAGTCAGAAACAGACTAATACATATGCAGTCACCTGATATATAACAAACGTTCTGCCGTATTCACCGGGCAAAGGACAGTCTTTTCATCGAATACACATATGGGGAAAGAAATGAATTTTTACCCCTAGCTCACACCATACACAGAGTTAATCCAAATGGATCGTAGAGCTAAGTGTGAACAGGAAAAGTAGTAAAGCTTCAAGAAGAAAACATAGGAGACTATCTCCATCCACGTTAGATTAAGTATTTCTTGAATGAGATGCAGAAAGTTCTAATTGTAAAAGAAAAGATTGATAGATTAATTTTCATTCAAATTAAGAAATTTGCTTTCACTCGAAGACATTCTTAAGAGGTTAAAAGGCAAACCTGGGCAGCCTGGACGAAGTCATCATCATCAAATGCCTCCAACAAAAGACTTATCTCCAGAGTTCCCACAAATTGATAAGAAAAGGCAAATGACCCAATTTTTAAAAAGGCAGAAGCTTTGAATGGGCCCCTCCCCAAGAGGTTCTTCAAATGGCCAAGAGCCTGTCTCACGGTGCCCAGTGTCATTGCCATTCAGGGAAATGCAAATTAGAACACAGTGTGATGTCACTACACACGCCCAGATGGGCTAAACCTAAAAAGATAGGAGATATCAAGTGTGGACAAGGACGTAGAGCCGCCGAAACTCTCATCTACTGCCGGCGGGAGGGCAAATTGGAACAAATTCTTTGTAAGACTGCTTGGCAGTTCCTGACGAAGTATGCACGTATCCTATGACCCCCAAATCCCGCTCCTGGATGTGTACCTAACAGAAACGCATACATCGGGCACTGAAAGACACATCCGAGAACGTCCCCAGGAGGAGAACAACTGCAAGCCACCCAAATGTACACCATCAGAGAAAAGAAGAAATAAATTATGGTGCATTTATCTGACAGACACCTACACAGCGATACAGTGAACGAACCGCGGCTACAAGCGATAATGCAGACAAATTTCACACGCATGACTTTGGACAAAAGAAACCAGACATGAAAGAGTACATGTTATGTGGCTCTATTTATATAAGGTTCCAAAACAGGCAAAATTAACGTACAAGTGAGGACAGCGTTACCTTTTGCGGGAAGAGAGGAGATAACTGGGAAGCTGGGCAGGTGCTGGCGGCAAGCGTGCTTCCAGGGTTCTGGGGATGTTCTGGAGAAGAGCCTCTCACCCCTGACGTTGTCGACATTTGGGGCTGGATCTTTCTTTGCTCTCATGTGCACTGCAGTGTTCCTGGCCTCGACCCCCTGGATGCCAGTAGCAAACACCCCCTCCAGTGGTCACTAGGGATGGAGGCCAACATTCCCCTGGCTGAGGGCCACTGTTTAATTGTCAGTCCTGGGAGAGTGAGGCGTGTGTGCTCACTTTATGAAGATGCATTGAGCTGTACACATATGATTTGTCAACTTTTCTGCATGCACATTAAACTTAAAAGTTTTTAAAATCGAAAAAAAGTTAATGAATAACTAAAGGAACCAAAAATTTCAGAGCTAGCAGGGAAAATAGATACAGTGTCGTTTAATGTCTTGTTTGCAGGTAAGGAGACTGAGATCCCGGGTCACTTGGGGTTCTGTGGCCAGTGGGACCCAGTAGGGAACGCTCGCCCCCTGTTCCACTCTCCCCCGTCCTGCCCCCTCACTCTCCCTCTCTCTTGCTCCCAAATGCAGCCCAAGTCAGCGCAACGGCAGATGCCACGCAGGGACGTGGCTGGACTCCGGAACCCAAACCCCGCTGTGGAAGCAGGGTTGGTGGATATTGCACCCCGGCACCCCACAGAGAAAATTTTGAAAACCAGTATCTCTGCAAACAGGATATTAGCTTTTGTTAGAAAGATCAAAAACGGCTTGAGGTTTCTCTTCACAGCCTCAGCCTCTCTTGCCTCCCCTCTGGCTTTATCTGCTCATTTCAGTCTGCAGGCAGGAAGAGATGGCAGCCGGGGAGACTCAGCTCTACGCTAAGGTCTCCAACAAGCTCAAGGGCCGCAGCACCCCCTCCCTCCTGGACTCCCTTCTGGGGATGGGCTTCCCCGCACACACCGTGTGAGTACTGCCCCGGCTGCGCGCGCCCCGAGACCCCAGACCTGGCTGGCCCTTCGGAGGGTGCGCTGTAAAGCTGCGAGCGGCTCAGAGCTCTCGCTTCCTGTCAAAGGGGTCCACCAGGACTAGATACTGTCTCAGAATAAGGCCCTTCTCTGCTTTTTATAAGTGGCAGGATCTTTGCCTTTCAAGGACAGAACTCGGCTGGCTGGCTGATGTGGGGGGACACTGAAATTGGTGAAAATTAAAGCCATGTGTTACCGCGGCAGCCCCATTTTTCAGGGTTTGGAGGAGCTGGAGGCCTGTAGTGACGCTGAGACGACCATTTCAAACTCTAATTTGAAAAGGTCCCAAAGCCCAGTGAATCTCTCCTGCTGGGACCTGTTGAAATGAAGCTGTGTTTCTGAACAGGGCAGGAAGCCCATGCGTCCTTAGGGAAAAAGCTCTTGAACGTCTGAAAATGAAACAAAATGATAAACTACCGGAAGAGTGTCAGCATGATCTCACTTACCCAAGGAAAGGGTCCACATGTAGAAAATTATGATCTTAGGCCTTACCCCTCCCAGAGAGGGAAGAAATCCCCCCAAAGCAGTGAGCTGTGATGCTGACCTCGGGTCCCAGCTTCCCTGGGAAACCGGTTCCCTAGTTCTGGTCCTTTTCACATGCTTATTCATATGGGAAAATACAGCAGAAGTCCCCTGAGGTGACCTTGGATTTGAGAGGGGGCAAACTGTCCTTAAACATTGTAACAAAATCCTGACCAAATTGGGTGAAATAACTTTGAAGCTAGACCCCTTCCTCCTCCAACCCAAATCAGGATTTTTGTCGTCACCACTGTGCTCATAACAATCCGGAGTCTGTGGAATGGGGAACAGAGCCAAGCCTGAGCAGAGGGCCTGTCGTGTGCTGGACCAGCCCTGGGCACCTTCCATCAGGTGCAGACGGGGACACTGAGGCCAGAGAGGGCACATAGTGGTCGGGCAGGACTGGAACCCCCTTCTCGGCGCCTCTGGAGCCCACGCTTTATTACACTAGTGAAGCTGCAGTGTGGACCCATCCTCAAAATTCCCTCTAGCTGAAACCTGGGCCATCTGTTGGGGGTGGAGAAGCCTGTTGAAACGTCTGCTCAGGCTGGAGCGCCCCAGGTGCCAAGGCCTCCCTGTTGAACCCCTCCAGGCGCCCGCATCCCATCAGGTCCCTCCCCAGCTCCAGCTGTTTCTGGGCTGACTTCCTGAAGGCAGCTCCTCAGCTACGCTCCATTCTGCTCAGTTTGGAGGCTCAGCTCAGTTCCATTCAATGTATCTACGTCCGGTTACAAGGATGAGTAAGATGCATTCAGGCCTCAGGGACCTCACGGTCTGGGAGAGGAAGCAAAAGGACTCAAGTTCGTCAAGACGAGAAGCGCGGTGACCACGAGTGTAGCCGGGAACACAGGAGCCCAGCACGTCCACCCTGCCTGGGCGGCGTGGGGAGGGCTTCCCGGAGGAGGGCGGTGTGAGCATCAGGGAAGAACCAGGACCACATCTCTAAGGGCAAGTCGGCACAGGGCCGAATTTTGGCGGGGGTGTGGGGCAGGGCGCCTCTGCAAGCTGGGATCTGACTCATCAGAGCCGACTTGAGGATCCATGAGCGGGCCTGCTTGGCTGTGGTGCAGGGCGAGTGGGGGAAGATGGAGGGGATAGGGTTCCAGGTTGGGAGGACCTCAGGGCACAAGCCCTTGGACTCGGTGCCAAGGACTGCAGGTGGGGAGCCCCAGAAGGAAAATGAGCAAGGGGCAGGGGGGATGTGAACAGGTCTGCATTTTCAAAACCGCAGCGATGCCCCTTGGAGGATGGAGGCCTGGACGCTCAAGCTGCCGGCCGGGAAGTCTAGCAGCCCAGCCCCTTGTGGCGGGATCCCTGAAGGTCCGACAGGCTGTTGGGCCCCCCGCTTCTCTCAACCTCTCCCGGAGAATGGAAGGCAGGGTCTAAATACTCCTTGCATTCTGCTCTCCTACAGGCTAAAGGCATTGGCAGCTACTGGAAGAAAGACAGTGGAAGAGGCATCGGACTGGTGAGTGGGCTGGCTTTGCGGGCGTGGAGAGCATCTGGATGGAAACACCCCTGCTTTGAGGGCGTGCAGGGTGGACACTGGGAAGTGCCCAGTACACTCTGGGCGGGGTGGGGCGGCCACCTCCATGCCTCCCCATCTAGCACCAAGGGAAAGGAATAAAGAGCCTGCATTTAAAATGCAAAACAAAAGAGAAGGAACTATGAACCAGCTGTTCCTCACTTAAAAATCTGATTTAATCCAAACATGACTGTCAAAGAAGGACAAAATTCGTGTGATTTGCTGTGTAAAGAGGGCAGAGCCATTCTTGCTGATGTAAGATAGAGATCGCCACTCTCTGGGGCTATATCTGATGGGGAGAGAATTTACTGGAGGTTGTGAATGTCCCCTAAGCCACGGTGCACAGTAACGGGGGTGGGGGTGGGGCTGCCGGGTGGCTGGGGGGGACCGGCTGAGGAGCTCAGGGTTCAGGGAGGCGCCGCCATCCGCCAGCAACGCGACTCTGCAAGCCACCCGCTGCTATGGTTGCGGTTTTCTGCTTCAGGAATCAAAGAGAGGGCACCCCCGTTTCTAAACGTGGTCCCGCCTGAATGTGCCATGATGCCATGGTTCTGCTCACAGCTGGGAAGTTCCCCCACGCTCTGCCCCGGAAAAACCACAGTGAAAATCAAACAATAAAACCAGGTCCTGCCAGGCTGGGATGTCCTCCCCAGGGCACGGTGGCAAACAGTGATAGTGGGTCTCCGAGCGTCCCGTGTGTCCTCCTCCAGAAGCTCTAGGCGGAGGGTAAACTATGTGCCCTATCTACGGGACAGGGGGAGACGCCCAGGACCCTCTGGGCTAAGGAACTCTAAAGCCAGTTACCAAATTTGAATTAAAACCCGAACACACTGCTGTGAGGGCTGCAGTCGGTCCCTGCTGGTTACCCCTCAGCCAATAAGACTAGCAGACCAGCCAAGGAACAGGGAGACCTGGGGGTCCCCCAGACTCAGCCAAGAGTGGGCCGACCTCTCTGCCCACCAGGGAGGTGCAAGTTAACAAGTTAACGTGCTATTGAAAACAAAGGGCAGCTTCAAGTACCACAGAGGGGGAGGGGAGGGTGCATTCTCACTTTTGTGGTTACAATCTAGAGTGACGATCAACATTGAAACTGTGTGGAGCCACCTGCCCGGCAGTTCCAGGTCTAAGCACATTCTCTGCAGGAATACAAAGGGCCTAAAAAAATGTGCAAAGTTCTTGATTACCGTGTTACAAAGTTTACAAGAAAGAAAACAGTTGAAATGTCCATCGATGGAGTGGATGAATGAAATATTGCATAGGTAGATGATGGAAGGTTACACAGCCCTTAGAATGTTCACTCTGGCAGACTTCACTACACGTATATGTGTGAACACAGGTCAATCGCAGAAACACATTGTGGAGTGAAAAATGCAAGTTGCAGAATAACGTAACAATAGCTTATGATTTATATAAAACGCGCACAAGGGCTATGTACAGATTTGTTACTTAAACGTCTAGAAGAAAATAAATCAGATCAATAACTGAGGTTGCCTCTAGAAAGGGCAAGAGAGCCAGGATGAAGAGCGGAGATCTTCCTCCATTGGGATTTTTTCATTACGAAGGAGAATGTGTTTGCGAACACCTAATGTTTTCCCAAGTGGTTGCATGGTGTTTTTCAAACTTAACATTACATCATACGCACTTCCCTGAGGCACTAAAATCATTCAAACCCCAAATTCCTAATGAATAGATGATAAATAAATTTACTAGCATTTATCTACTTTTTCCTTCTTTCCGATTATAAATAACTGCAATAAATATTCTATACGCACAGTTTTATCTATACTTTTTGCTTTTCCCTTCAGATAAATTTCTGGGAGCAGAATTATTAGTTCTGGCGGGATGGGCACTTCAGGGGTCCTCATGCACATTGGCAAATTGCTTTATCCAAAGGTTGCACAAATTCGTCCTTAAGTCTCACTGCACCTATGACACAATTGAGCATAACATTTGTCTTTTGAAAAGTGTTTCGTTAATTTGACAATGACAAAAATGGTGTCTCATGGTTGTCTTAATTTTCATTTTTATTATTAGTGAGAATGAACTTGTATTTTGGATTCGTATATCCTTTCTGCCTGTATTTAAAATAACTTTCTGAAACGAAAGAAAATAGAATGGCCACCTAAATTTTGTCTGGCTTTTTTGTGGTTTTGATTTTTACATTTAATTCGAAGTTGGAGATAAAATTAAAATGTGAATTTTTTCGACAAAATTTTCAACACTAAGGAGACGGCTGGACCACAGAGGTCATTTGAAGACCAGATTTTGAGTTTTACTGTCACTTTTCTCGGCCTTTGGCTTGGGAATCACACTGACCCGGGTCTGAGAGCTGGGCGGATGCTGCCTTCTCCTCAGCCCCTTGCTCCGTGTCTCACGCAGTTATTTTGGCCTGTTATTCTGAGTTGCTGTTGTTGCTGTCGTCTGTCCTCTGGGGAAAGAATCTTCGTCATGACACCGGGTGAAAGTGGCCCGTTTTCCGTTGCAGGCTGCACTGTCATTGCAATGACCCCTCTCTAGACGACCCCATCCCCCAGGAGTACGCTCTTTTCCTCTGTCCCACCGGGTCCCTGCTGGAAAAACTTCAGGAGTTCTGGAGAGAAAGCAAGCGTCAATGCACAAAGAACAGAGCTCACGAGGTCTTCCCTCACATAACGCTCTGTGACTTCTTCACGGTGAGTCAGCCCCTAAGTGCCTTTAATGCTCATGAACACAGCAGCTGAGGTCACAGTCTGTGATAGCTAGCCACATGATTTATTTCCATGGGGTGGTCCACAACCATAGTATTGGCAGGCCTCTTTGTGTGAAATATCCTTTACTTTCCTCCTCACCTTCATCTGGTCAACTCCCAGTCATACTTCAGAACCCAATTCATTTATCCTCTCCCTTTTTAAATTCTTCCTCAGCTCCCTGGGGAGAAGAGGCTGCTGCCCTCTGTGCTCCCACCAGCTTTTTATTTATATTTCTAGCAGTACTTTACGTGTTGGGTGACAATGACAATATGTCTGGTGCAGCTCTGCATCCTCACTGGACTGACCCCCTCAAGGGAAGGTAGATACTCTGCTCATCCTTGTAACCCCAGAGCTACCACAGCGCCCAAGACAGAGAAGGTGCTTTAGAAAGAAATGTGTAATGGACCAACTGAAGAACGGGGGATTGTTGACCTGTCACAAGGGCAGGCCTTTTCCCTGCCTTGGGGACCAACCCTCTGACTTAGAAACTGGTCGAATAGGCAGCTCCCTGGGGCCTGGGAAGGTGAGAGGGACCGGGGCTGCTCAAAAGACAAGGAGACGTGGGAATGAGGGAGGCAGGAGCAGACACGCCTTCCTCTGAGCTCCCCACCAGAGAAATGTGGGAGGGCACCCGGCCTGGCCTGCCTCTGCTGTCAGCGAACTCTAAGGGTTCCCCCTGTTTCAAGGGTCCCACCAGGGCCCAAGCAATCCCCCCATTCCAGTCTCCACAGCACGCAGGGGAAGGGGACGCAAACCCCCACAGGGAAGGTTTCCAGAAGATACGCCCGGGGAAGCAGCGCCTTCTGGAAGCTTTGATGAGCATGGCTGTCTGCTTCCGGCTGAGGCGCGGCATTGCGGGGGATGATTCCCAGGACACAGGACTTTGGTGCTAAAACCAGGAAAGTCCTGGGCAAACCAGGGTGAATTGGTCGCCCTCCTTTACAGGTGATGGCATTTCTCACAATCAGCCTTTCTGGCTTGTCCTCGGGGCTCGTCAGGGAAAGGAAAGGAGCCACACCCAGCAATGAACGTGACCTTAGAAATGACACGCTCGGTGACGGCAGAGAGAGCAGAACTGGGCCTCCACTCCTTCCCCCAACCCAGCACTCACCTCACAAATGGAAACACACACAGAGACATACCCACACAGAGACACAGATATGTACACACACAGAGATATACAGAAACACACACAGCACGCAGTTACACGCACAGTTAAAGAAGCAGATACACACACAGACACACACCCCCCCACACACACACAACCCCACAGATACACAGACAGACACACACAGAGACAAGCCCACACAGAGAGACACAGATATAAACACATGTGGAGATACATATAAACACACACAGCATGCAGATACACACACAGACACATACACACACAACCCCACAGATACACAGACACACACAGATACATACACACACAACACACACAGATACATACAGATATATATACGCACACTGAGATACACAGAAACAGAAACATCCCAGAGACAGATGTGTACACATACACACATACCACATCACACACACATCAAACAGATACACACACGTAGATACACACACAAACACACACTCACAAACACACATCACGCAGACACACACACAGATATATACACACCATATCACACCCACCACACACACACACGCCACAGAGACACACACACACACACACACACACCCTTCTCTCTCGTTGGCCGCCCGCTCACCCACACCCTCCCTCCGAGCCTGCCTTGTTGGCTGAAGGCCCCTTTCAGGCAGAAGAGCGTCCGAGGGGTTCACACTGCCTTGCATACTGTTGCATGAAAACGTTCACCCACCAAATGTGAGGTCAGTTCCCGCTGTCTATAGTGCGACTCTGCTTCCAGATGACACAGCTGAGACGGAGAGCACCCTGTGGCAGACACTCACCCATCCAGCTTTCTGGTGTTGGGGGCCCTGCACACATCACAGGCTTCCGAGGCCCATGAGGGCTGCGAAGGGATGAACTTGGTGGGCTCCCAGACTAGAAGGGGGGCTGAAATGCACAATGAACACAACAGCACGGGTCATACTTCAGAGTGTAAAGAATACCGTGGGAAGTTCAGAGGGAGCCGCGGGCCGGAAGAGAAGGGAGTGGGTCAGTTTCCTGCTGGGGGACGTGTGTCTGGGTTCCACTGTGGTCCCACATGGCCACATGGAGTCTCCCACGTGGAGAAATGTCTTCAAGCCCAGGACATGGCTTGGGCAGTGTGAGCCCGGGAGCCGCGATGCGCTTGGCCGGGAGCCTGGAGTGGGGTGTGGGAGTGGGGAAGTGGAGCAGGGACGACGGCCGGCCCCATGGTTCTTGGCAGTCAGGCTGAGCATTAGACGGAACTCTCCAGGGGAAAGGGGAGCGCCTGCCATTTCGGGGTGGGGAGGGGCATGGCCAGGGTGTGGCTTTAGGAAGATGGTCAGAATTGTGTGTGGCAAACTGGGGGGCCCTGAAGGAACGAGTCAGAGTCTGTGTTGGTTCAGGGTCCTCCCAGAAGCAGAGCGCAAGGTGGAGTTATACGTGCAGGTGATTTATTCGGGAGAAATGCCTAGAAGGATAGAGAAGGAGAAAAGCTTGGGCAGGGGAGCCTTCAGACAGCGTGTGGGTCTGACTCCCGAGAAGGAGACGGGGAGGAGGACCAGAGGCAGAGCCTCGGCCCCAGAGTGGCCCAAGAAGGACGGCGGGGCTGACAGGGACCCTGAGTGCCAGGGCTGCCCCAGAGGAGCCCCATGGGGACAACGGCTGGCTCGGTCATTGTGAGAGCATGGCCCGCTCCTGGGTCTGAGGGGCAGCAGCCCCAGGCGTGGGCTACTACCCTCCTTGCTGCAGGTTCTGAGCAGTGCCCCACCCCCTCCCCCACACTGTGGTTGCCTCAGAGCCTAAAGGAAACTTCCAGAAGCCGACTAATGCTCTGTGAGCACAGATATGGAGGGGGAGACTGGCTCAGGATGCATGGCAGTCTTTGAGTCAACATGAGCCGGAGGGATGGGGCGTTGTTGAAGTGACAAAGCATTTCCAACCTGGGCATTTAAAGGGTATTCCATTCCAAAAAGAATTTTACCCAAAATCTCTAAGAAACTGAGGACCGAGTATAGAACAAATCCATAGCCCCAAGCACACAGACTAGATGAACTATGTTACAGGGTCGTAACCTGAAAAGAGGCTCGCTTGGCTGCATAATCTTTATTAATTAAATTAACGGATGACCTTCCAACAAAAGGGGAGAAGGCACATCCTCTGTCTCTCTTCCCTTAGTGTGAAGACCAGAAGGTGGAATGTCTGTACGAGGCTCTAAAGAGAGCTGGGGACAGGATCCTGGGCTCCTTCCCCTCCGTCGTCCCTCTGGTTCTCCACTCTTCCGTCAGCTACCTGGGCTTCTTCGTGAACGACAGCCCTGCAGACGTCATCCGGGAATTCGCCGCGACGTTCGCCACGGAAGCATCCGTCTTAGCAGGTAGGCAGCCGGCGAGTGGCACACATAGGGCCGGGTTAATGGGAAGGGATCCCGTTGTGTCTGGGGCTGTGCTTGCCACACGGGATGCAAGGGGTGGATCCCAGGGGAGCAGAGTGCGGGCTGTTCCCTGATGCAGCGGTGGTCAGACAGCTGGCTGGACTGGGCTCGGGGATGCAGGCGCCCCTGCCTGGGCCATGTCCACTCCCATCTCTCCCTTTTCAGTCAGCTACTCTGACACGGCCTTAACCCGAGGCTGAACGATTTAACTAGAGCCTCCCTAATGAGCCAGCATGTGCTTCAAAGGTAAGCAGAGAGATTCTGAGAACGGGCAGTCTTTTCTCTAAGGGAGAATAGCCTTGTTTGCATTGATGTGGTTTTTCAAACACCTGCCATATTCCAGCTGCCTGGGAAACTGTCCCGGGAGGAGACGTTGTGTGGCTCTGTGTTGACAGTGGATTGTAGGCTGGTGTGCATGCCGTGGGATCCGGGCCTCCCGCAGCCCCGTGCCCACCTGGGGCATCTCTCCTCCCTGGGTCAGTGCTGTGTGTAAAACACAAGTCCTAGTTGATTTATTTTAATTCTTTAGGTGTGAGCCTAGCCTTCTCACCTTGGCCTCTTGGGGGAAAGGATTATCTAGACTCACTCCGAGGATCAGGGAAATTCCCTTTTCTCCCCACACCAGCCCTGGTCTGGAGACTGAGGCTCCAGCTGGGGCTAGCAGGAGGAATTCCGGACTTGACCTCGGAAGATGTGAATTCCTCCGGTGCCCCTGGTTAGTGGGCTGACCTTGATCAAGTCATCTCAGCTCCCCGAGTCATGCTTCTTTCTCTGCAAAACGGCGAGGGCGAGGGCTCTGCGAACAACGCAGCCCGTTTTTGTGGAACTTCTGCCGTAGTTCCTGGCGCACGGAAGCTGCTCGATATTGTTGGATGTGCTGAGTCTGAAACTGGAAGAGGCAGCAGCGCTTGGTGGGAGGACCTTCCCTGCCCCTCCACGTGCATCCCATTTGCCCACCCCATCCTTGGACCTGTGTGAACGCAGACCCCAGCCGCAGAAGTAAGTCCAGGAGTCCAAGATTTCCATTTGGAGGCTGGCTTGGCTAGGGACCATATTTGCCAAATAATTATAAACTTACCCTGTATCTTTGTGGATTAGTCTCCTTGATGTAAACGTGAGGTCAAAGGGACAGCTCTTCCTTGCCTCTCAAAGAACAACGAATGTGGTTCTTGTTGTACTGATGCGTCAGCCACTGGCCTCAGAGCAGGCACGCCACCCACTTACTCTTCACGTCCCCCCTAAAAGTGGATCTAATTGCCCAGTTTCAAAAACAGAGTGACGGAGGCCTGTGAAGCGTAAAGTCCTTGCCCAAGGTCACTCTCATGGGTTCAATGGAGTCCCCTAAAATTCAAGTCCACTCAGGACGTCGGAAAAGGACCGTCTTTGAAAATAGGGTCTTTGCAGATGTAATTAGTTAAGAGGAGGTCAGACTGGAGTTGGGTGGGTCCCTAAATCCAGGAACTGGTGTCATTGTAAGAAGAGGAGAGGACACACAGAGACACAGGGAGAAGCCACGTGAAGACAGAGGCAGAGACGGAAGCCAAGCGGCCACAAGCCGAGGAGCCCCAGGGGCCACAGATGCTGGAAGAGACAAGGATGGACCTTTCCCCGAGCCTTCATAGAGAGCATGGCCCTGCTCACACCTTGATTTTGACCCCCTATTCTCCAGAACTGAGAACAAATTTCTGTTGTTTTAACCCAATTTGCAGCAATTCATGACAACAGCCGCAGGCAACCAGCCACGTCCCCTAACCAGTGGGAGGTGGAACCGGAACTTGAGTCCAGCTCTGTCTTGCTCCACACCCTCAGGTTTCAAACTGACTGGCTCTGCGTCCTGAGAGAGCGGCCTTGACCTCCTGTCTGTCACCCAACCCTGAGCAGGCTCCACCCAGCCCTTCCGTGCCTGTGCCCTGGGCTGGACCCTGAGGGGTTAGGAGGGGCCAGTCACTGCTCTGGCATGTCCTCGGTCCCTCTCAGGGCAAGGGGGTCCCCTGGCAGTGAAATGTCCTCAGGGACATGAGGCCACGGAGAGAAGAAAGACTAGGGCCCATTCAGAAGTTGGGTGTGACTCAGTGATCACTCCGCTGACAACCAGCCATGGGTCTTTCCCAGGCCACGCTGACTCATGTAGCAAGGCCTCCTCGCCCACTCCTGAAACACCTGAGAAGAGGAATTTCCCCGACACCCACACGCTCTGCTTTAGACTTTGTCATCCCCACGGCTCAGGGCTCAGAGATCTGGACGGCTCCTCGTTTGGTACCAATGGCTCCGGCAGAGGCTGGAAGGCATGAAGGGGCCTCCAAGTCTGGGCTCCAGGAAGCGCGTGCGTCCTCCTTGACATTTTTCAGGGGGAGAACAGCTCCTGTTTGTTGACGTGTGTTGGCCGTGGGAGAGGCGGCAGGTAACTGATATTTCCTGAAAGAGACCACGAGTTAAGAGATTGGTTTCCATGGCAGCCCCAGCTGTCGGCTGTCACTATCCTCAAGTTGTTGCTGTGGAAATGGAAGCTGTGTCAGGCCAAGAAGCTCCTCAAGGTCACCCTGGCAAAAGGGACAGAATGGACTCTAAAGCCAGGTTTAGCTGATACCAAAGTCTGCACTTTTCCTGTCCATCACCGCCTCCCCAGGGCATGAACTACTCTGTGGCCCAGCTGAATTCAGATCCTGGCTGACCTGAGTGCCCCGGCCCGAGACCCAGGAGGACGGGGGCCGAGAGGGCAGAGGCTGCCCAAAAAGGCCAGGGGCCGGCCACTCACAGGGCTTCCTGCTTCGCTAAAGCCGTCCGCATGTGAGGGATGCTGTCATGTTTACAGAGTCGCGTTGCCCATGACGTTTTCTTCCCGAAACTGCAACTGAATAAAAAGGCGTTGACCTGGAGCGCGAGCCGACCAGCCAGGCCAGGCCGCTGAGTAAGGTGCACACTCCAGGGAACAAAGGAGAGGCTATTTATTTCAGACATTCTAATCCATGTTTGGGCAGCTTGCTTGCAAATTGATAGGCCCCAAATGCTCCCCAAAACCCACATCTCTACACCCTCCTTTTTCCTACTTCCTCGTAAGATTTGCAGGTACCCAACCAACTCCTTTATAAGGTGAACTCTGAAATGGCACAGTCTGGGCCGAGTCCTTGCCATGCCAGGAAAGGCCCGGTACAGAGTGGGGAGGAGTGGGTAGAGGGGGCAGGCGCCGTGTATAAAGGGGTTTGCATTGCCCATCCCGGCCATGTAGTCGACCCAGGCAGGTAGTGCTGATGGTTTGGGTAAAGCTGCCGGCACCCCTGTGTTTACCCGATTTCGTAGACTGCACAGTGAAGCCTTGCACCAAGCAGCTGCACCTGACCCTGGCCCACAAGTTCTACCCCCACCACCAGAGGACGCTGGAGCAGCTGGCCAGAGCCATCCACCCGGGCCACAGCTGCCAGTGGACCGCAGCCCTGTACTCCCGAGACATGCGTTTTGTGCACTACCAGGTGAGCGAGCCACACCCTGAGCGAGCCACACCCGGAGGGGCCCTGGGCGGGTGGTAGGTGGATAGAGAGATAGACTCCTCCCCACGGGGAAAGGAGGAATGAACCACCGCCCACCTGACAGGGCACTCACCCCTGGGAGCCCTCCGCGCGAGGTATTCTAGCAGAAGGGAGGCTCTCTATTCTTTCTCTAAGATCATTGCCTTTTTTGTGCAAACTGGAACTCACATTTATATATGAGTTACAGACATACAGAAATTTGAAAAAAAAATGGAAGCATTTCTGATATTAAAAATGACTAATTTTACTTATTAATTTATTTAAATAATGACTAATGAATACATTCTGTTGCTTATTAATTTATTTAAATAATGATTTGGGTGAAGCCTTGTTCCGGGACTTCTCCCCCTGAATTGAGTGGTTTAGATAGAAGGCAGGCTGTGCGCCTCCCAGACCCACGGAGTAAGCATGAAGGAACCCACTGTGTTCCACAGTGCAGGAGAAGCTAGGAACAACCTCGTGCCAAGGAAGGTGGATGTGAAAGTCTGGTTATGCTTTAAGATCTTTATATTAGAAATAAGTAAATAAAGATAGATAGAGAGACAGATAAATGATAGATAGAAAGATAGATAGATATAGAGATAGAGATAGATAGATAGATATAGAGATAGATAGATAGATAGATAGAGATGGATAGATATAGAGATAGAGATAGATAGATAGAGAGATAGATATAGAGATATAGAGATATCGAGATAGATATAGAGATAGATAGATATATATATAGAGAGAGAGAGATGTAGAGATAGATAGGTGTACAGATAGATGTAGAAATAGATAGGTAGATAGATAGATCGATAGATAGACAGATACATAGAAAGATGGATAGATAGATGGATAGATATAGATAATAGATACATAGATACCAAAATTCATTTCTAAATCTATGCAAAGAATTCTGTGCTGCATTTTGTTATAATCTACATTATCTATCATCAGACAAAGGCCTGGAGAGTGTCCTGGAGACACAGAACCATCGGGGAGCCTGAAAGCAAGAGGCAGACGTAACAGGCCTCCCAGGGCCGTCTTTCCCAGCACGAGTCCTTGCGTGGGGTGTGAAAACACTTGCCTCTTTTCTAGACCCTGAAGGCCCTGTTCCAGTACAAACCGCAGAACGAGGACGAGCTGACGCTGAGTCCCGGCGACTATATCTTCGTGGACCCCACCCAGCAGGAGGAAGCCAGCGAGGGCTGGGTGATCGGCATCTCGCATCGCACGGGCTGCCGGGGCTTCCTGCCAGAGAACTACACGGAGCGAGCCAGCGAGTGTGACACCTGGGTGAAGCACAGGTGGGTGTCGCCTCCGGCCTCTAGTGGCAGCCCACACACGTCTCTCTGAGTTGGCGTCTGACAGCGTCCCTCTGAAAACAGTGGTCGCAGTGTTTGTATGTTTCTAGAACCTTCCGCCATTGGTAAAAATTGCCTTCTCCTGGGGGCAACATTATCCCTGCAGGTATACTGTAAATATCTTGGTTGATTTGTGGTTTTTCTGCTGATAATGTTCAGAAAACATGAATTACTCCATATGACTTTCCTGAGACAGTAATCCCAAAACAATTGCAAAATACCACTTCCTTAGTATGAACATAACAAATTATAGTCAGAGATCCTAAGCTTGGGTTTATTTAGCCTTCTGCTCAGCGTACAAACCGTAAAGTCCTGTGGTGCCTTCTTAGTCGTCTGTTGCTATATAACAGACGACCATGAACTTGCTAGCTCAAAGAACAGACCTTCATTATCTCACAGTTTTCATGAGTCAGGAGTCTGGACTTAGCTGGGTCCTCTGCTCGGGGTCTCCCAAGGCTGTGATCAGGTTCTGGCTGGAGCTGGGGTCTTATCTGAGACTGAGGGCAGTCTGCCAAGTTCACATGGTGGTTGGTTGAATTCGTCTCCTTGAAGCTGTAGCACTCCTGGTGCCTTGCTGCTTCACGTCCGGATGAAGAATCTCTTAATTTTAGCATCTTTAGCCTCCTCTGGAGAGGCTGAGAATTTTCGAAATCATCAGGTACTGGTTCCTTTGGTTTAATGTTTTTTCCCTCAATTTCCCTCTCTCTTCACACGCTTTACTATAAGCAACAAGAAGAACCTGGGCGATACTTTTAACGCTTTGATTGGAAATGTCCTTAGCTACATAACTAACTTCATTGCTCACAAGTTTTGTTTTCTGAGGACAATTTCATTAAACTTTTTGCCGCTATGTAATAAGGATCCCCCTTCCTCCTGTTGCCTATGACCCGTATCTCGCTCCCTCTGCGCCCTCACCAGTGACGCCTTTAACACCCAGACTTCTGTAACAGTCCGTCCAAGGTCACTTAGAGTTTCTTATCATGCTTCTCAAAATTCTTCCAGCCTCCACCCACTCCTCAGGCCCAAAGCCACTCCCACATTTTAGGTATTTGTTCCAGCAGCACCCAACTCCTGATACCAAATTATGTATCAGTAAAGGTTTAACCAGAGAAGCAGAACCAAAAATTTTTATATTATATATATAAAATATAAATACATGTATAAAATATGTAATTTGTATTGTTATATTTAACATATAATTATTTATTAATAGTATAATCTATACATTTTCTGTTATTTATGTTATTGTAACATATACATCCATTGCACACATGTATCTAGGTACACGCACATAGAGGTATTACAGGGAGTTGCCTCATGTGACTGTTGGGGCTAGATAAGGCAAGAAGGGAAGGGGACCACAGCAGGCTGGAACCCACGCGTGAGCAGATGCTCATCGTCTACCGATGCTGATCAGGAAGGACCACCCAGGCAGATGGGAGAGAAATTGTGGACACAGCTGGTATCCGGAATCTCTGAACTCAGAGAAAACCAAGTATTTTTTAAAGATCTTCCAACTGAATAAGTCAGACCTGCCCTGGATAATCTCCCTTCTGATTAACTTAAAGTCAGCTGACCAGGGACTTGAATCAGATCTGCAAAATCTCTTCCTGGCAGCGCCTAGATTAGCATTTGATTGGGTAACTGGGAAAGGTGTGTGTCTGCTCAGAATGAGGGCTGCCTCCTGCGCTCCTCCAGCGCTGGGAGAACATCCCTGGCAGCCGCCTGACCAGACACAGGCTAGAAAGGGAGTCTGGAGACTGCCATTCGGTCGACTTGCCCCGAAGCCATGGCAAGGTGTTAAGATAGCTCTCTCGAGATCTCCTCCACTCTCTCCTCTCGGATGTGAAGCGTGACACAGCGGTGAGGGAACACGGGGTCAGGCAAGGGTAAGGCTGCACCGTCCCTGGTATGCATGTCGGGGTGGGGCTCACAGTGGAAGATTTTGATGAGATGGATGGTTGGAACAACTTAATGATGAGAGTGGGAGGAGCAAGGGAAAAAGACACAGAAAACCCCTGTGTTGTGGTCCAGGGCTTCCTGGCGCCTTCAGAGCTGGACAAGAGAGCCCGGAAAAGCAGCGACGGGGCTGTCCCTCTGTTTCCAGCAGAGATGCCTTAAAACTGTTTCACTATTTCACTCACTTGCTTATTCTCTTCTAAAAATCTCCACAGCCTCCCCTAGATATTTTTCACCTGCAAAGGAACAAATCGTTACGTTGAACACAGCTGTATTACCGACCTGCTCCATCTACAAATTTTCAGATCCGTGCTAGACATTTACTGTGGACAAATATTTTCCAGCGTCTATATATCCAGAGAACTTTCTCCTGCTGGGGTTCATACACAAGGCAAAGCTATGAAAATCATGCCTTTTTATTTGAGTTGCCATTGGAAGCCCCTTAAAAATTGTCAGAGAATCTATGCTTAACTATAAGTATTAGCATTTTGAGTAGGTTAAGAATGCATTTTGAAGAGCTGAAATTAATGATTGCTGGTTGATCATTTTTACCCAAACCAAAAAAAGAAAAAAAAGAGTGGTTTAATAGTGCCTCATAGAAGTTCTTGGAAAAAGGACTAGATTTTGTAAGAAATAGTAGCCAAAAATTAGAAGTGTCTTCTGGAAATATTAATGAGAGATCAGGTGACCTTGGCTGGTTTCTTTAGGTATTGTGACCCTTACTGCTAATTGTTCATACACTGAAGTTTGTGTAACAAGTTGGGGACAGCGTTTGTGTCCCTGGGCTTCTCCACCAGCATAACGGCAACTCGACACTCAACAAGAGTGGGTTCCAGCCAGAGCCTGGCAGCGTGACCCTCCGCGTTATCTTCACTTGAGGCCGTTTAACTTCTTACCCTAATTGATAAGCACTGAGGCCCATCCAGTATAAATTAGGAAGGGAAATGTAGCAGTCGTCACACGGTTTTACTTATTGGTGTGTCCACTCACTTAATTCAAACAATTTTAAGGCAGCTTAAGAGATGCATGATAGCTTGTAGCACTAACATGGCACTGGCCCTATGCCAGGCTCCGTTCCATGTATTTACCCTCATTAACTCGTTTAATCCTCTCAATAGCCCTGAGGTAGGTGCTATTATTGCTCCATTTTATAGTTGTTGAAACTGAGGCAGAGAGAGATCAAATAACTTTCCCAAGTTGACACAGCGGGTGAGTAGAGGAAGCAGGATTCGAACCCATCCTAATCTCAAGCTCAGGCTTTCAACCATTACCTAAACCGCCTCTAAAAGAGACAATTAAATTAAAAATAAGTCAGTGAAATAAATTACGAGGCATCCATACAATAGAATACTTGAAGTTTTTAGAAAGGATCATGAGGACGTTATTCTGTGCATTGATGGGAAAGAAATCCAAGACGAGCGGCAGAACAGCGTGGGCCACACAGCCGTACTTGTGGGGAAAGGATGAAGCAAGCTGTCATTGTCTGTACATATACACGCATGATAGGTATTTTATGCCTGTCTCTGCCTAAAAGCTCCCTGGAAGGGAGACTCTCTAGAAACTTCTAAGAGTCGTCCCCCATGGGGGTTGGAGGTGGGAGATGGGAGAATGGAACAGAAGTGGGAGAGAGAACTTTCACTCTCCACCATTCCATCATTTTTAAATTTTTGGACCATATGAATGTATTACTTGTTCAACATTAATATATTCCTTAATCGATTTCAAATTTAAAGAAAACAATATAAGGAAATTGGGTCAAAGGGGGAATAAAGGGAGAGAGGTCAGACCAACCCAGGGCTGAGGTTTGCACACGTGGTGCGGGCTCCAAGCTTTCCCACCCCCACTGCGAAGGGGCCAGAGCCTCTACCACACGGTCACGGCCATCCCAGAGCGGGTAGACCAGTTGTTCAGGAGAAGCACACTTCTGTGGCTGCAGACCTGGCTGCTGGTCCCAGGGGCCACAACAGAATCACAGGATGTTGGCGCCACAGGTGCAGAGACACTTGTCGGTGCAGAGAAGATCAGATGCTTGCCTCCTCCTTGAGAGCTGAGAACACTCCGGCCCAGGGAGGTAGAGAGGCCGGATGATGTCACACCACTGTTTCCTTTTAGAACCTGCTTAGTCTGTCACCTCGTGCAGTGAATGTTTGGGGAGCAGCAGGAGAGGAGACGCTGGCTCCGCTCTAATGGACTGAGTTCCAGGAGGTGTGGGCTCCCCTACGGTCCCCTGTCCCCTGGCAGCTCCTCCACTCCCCACACAGGATGGGAGACCTTCACTGTCACCAGGCAATTGACAAACCTGGATGTTTCTAGAACTAAGCAGCGAAGACTCTGGAGAAGATGAGCTTGTGGCCACTACATTTTTCTCCTCCCAATTAACCTGTCAGTCACCTGTCACCTGCATAACCATTCTAGACGTTCAGCGTGACATTTCTGGGACTAATCTTCCTAAAAACAAGTTTCCCTTGGGGATTAAATGTTAGCAAGAATTGCAACCAAAGGAGAGAAAAATAAGTACTGGGCTAGGCTGTGGGGTGTGTACTGGGCATGTTTTAGAAGCACCCCATCTTCACTGGGGGAGCAGGGAGACAAGCTGTGACTGTGACTGTCGACATGTGACTGCGGCCAGAACAGAAATAACCAGTGCTGCTGTCTCACTCCATGGCCCTGGCTGAGTCTTGTAAAACTGCCTAAAGTGTACCTTACGAAACATAGACAGCCTTTTAAATCAGAAAACTGCCCTTGAGTGTCTTGACACATCACTAGTCTGTTAAGCACGGGGAGACGTGGTCAGAAGGCACTGTTCAAGGGCTCCCTTAGCCGTGGACAGACAGACAAAGACCTCCTACGGCGTCAGCAGCAGCGTCACGCTTGGCATGGGCAGCCCACGCAGCAAGAACGGCTGGCCTGACTGACAGTGCCCGAGGAGGGCTGGGCCAACGTCAGGAGGAGTCCCCGCCCTGCCACGGGGAGCACATTTCCAGGGAGGAGCTTGCAACTGTGGTGCTCATTACTTGGCAATTAATCCATCCGTCACCCATCCCCAATACATCAACGTCAGCCTTCATGCCGACAGTCCCAGGAGGCCTTGGGTCAGCAAGATCACGCTGCCATAGCTATCCGTTACTGTGAAGAAAAATAGTGGAGGCGATCAGAGCGATAGTGATGGAAGAGTGTGTTCCTGGATCCCAGCAGCTTTCAGCTTTCCGTGCAGAAGAATGTATATAGAAAATTGTGGAACAAGGAGCAGAGGGGCCATGAGTGTTAGAGCCTGGAGAACATTTCGTCACCCTCTAGCCAAGATGAGAACGTTTCCAGCACTGAAGCCATACGTGCCCAGTAACTCTCCAAAACCACAGAACAGGTTGGTAGCAGGTGGTTCTGATGTAATAAGGAAACTGTTATGGGCTGAGTTGTGTCCCCCCCAAATTCGTATGTTGAAGCCGTGACCCCCAGCACCTCAGAATGTGATATGTTTGGAGATAGTCTTTCAAGAAGCGACTAAGGTGAAATGAGGTTATTGGGGTGGGCCCTACTCCAATCTGACTGGGGTCCTGATGAGAGGATATGAGGACACAGACACACACAGAGGGACGGCCATGTGAGGACACAGGGAGAAGACGCCGTCTACAAGCCAAGGAGAGCGGCCTCAGGAGGAACCAGCCCTGCCCACACCTGGATCTGGATCCAGACTGTGAGAGAACGAACGTCTGTTGTTCGAGCTGCTCAGCCTGTGGTACCTTGTTATGGCAGCCTGAGCAGATTAACATGGGGACATCATCCGTACAACCCCACAGACTGCAGCCATACCCCTTTTAAAAGCCAAGGAGTGGGGCCACCCTGGTGGCGTAGTGGTTAAGTCGGAATGTTCTGCTTCAGCGGCCTGGGGTTCACCGGTTCGGATCCCAGGTGTGGACCTACACACCACTTGTCAAGCCATGCTGTGGCAGTGTCCCACATATAAAGCAGAGGAAGAGGGGCACAGATGTTAGCTCAGGGCCAGTCTTCCTCAGCAAAAAAAAAAAAAAAAAAAAAATCCAGGGAGAATGTAAACACTCCTATTTCTATGCTATAATTTAACCTACATGGTTCTCTTAAATTCAAGAAGAATATAGAAATATTGAAATGCCACGCTCTTTCCTTTCTTTTCTCATCACCAAGTTCCTGTCATAATCTAGACTGTATTTCATTTGAAAGATCATAAAAAAAATTCAATTTTTCTCTCCAACTGTAAACTTCACAGATGTTATTTATAGATAACAGGGCCTTGCTATCTGCACCGTGAACCACAAATAGGGTGCGGGGGCCCCCGCCTCGTCTTCAGGAAGAGAAACCCAACCACCGTTTCCCGTGTCAGTGTGAGACACTATGAGTAGTGCCCCACTCCTGTGGGCGTGCTCATTTGAAGGGGAAAATGGCGATGTTCAAATATGAATACCAGTGTTCTTGGTCTACTTGTGCTCAACCAAAGCCCCCATGTCATACGTGTGTTGGCATCTGACACTGTGAGAATATGTGAACAAGGTAAGTCTATTTGACTTGGATCCCGCCAATAAGAGTTCACAGCTCAAGACGGGAGAAGTAACAACACGAGAACAGAAGGTACAACTTGTAGACATTTTAAGAACTACGTTAACTAAATCAAACACCGCATGGGGAGTGAATGGTCCAGGGCGTCTGGCTGTGGCAGCAAAAGGCAGGCGACCTGAGGCTGTGGGCGGGTGAGATGCAGGGGAAATGATGCTGCTCCTGGCTCTGGACCTCGGTAGGGTCTCAGGCTGGAGGCTTGGGAGCTATCACTGGTTTTAGGAGAATTTGGGGACTTACGCCTCTCTGAGAGAAAAGCAAACATTTATGAGTGGACTGTAGTAGAAACACACCACGTTCATCACTGAGAAAAATTAATCGTGACTATATCAATTCCTCCAAACTAATTTCCAGGCTTAAAGAAATTCCGGGAAAAAATCTCAATGGGATCGTTTGTTGGAACTTATGATTGGAAAGCTTATCTGGAAGAATAAAGAAAAATAAAGAATAAAGAGAGAAGAGTTGAGAAAACTTTGAAAAAAAGAATAACGAGAGGAGACTGTTACTCTACCAGGTGTTGTAATGTTGTAAATGTATAACATGCTGCTGGCTCCCGGGAAAGAGAACAAACAGAGCAGGGAACAGAGAAGACGGCAGAGCAGGAGACTTGGCATACTGGGAAATTCACGTGTGACGGATGCATCAGAAATAGGGAAAGAAATGGGTATAAAATAAATGGTATTTTATATGAACTCACCTCATATACTGAAATGAATTCCTGACAAAGTCAAGAATTAAACAGAAAAAGAATATCATTTAAAAATAGAAGACAGTTTCGATGAACGTATCTCTGAGTTGTGAACTGGGGAGAGCTTTGAAAGCATAGAAGCTGTGGGAGGGCTCTTAAAGCGAGACTTAGATCCATCTTTAAGTTTTATTAAATGCTTAAAACTTAAGGTTTACATATGTTAAAGATCAAAAAGAATACTACAATCCAGAAAGCGAGATGAGAACAGTGCTTTTCAGAAAACAGTAATAAAGGTGATGCCACCCCACCAGTCACTCAGGTGAGCGGAGTACCTGCCAGCTTCTCTTCCACCATAAATCACCCCAACTGGAACACGGGTGCTCATGACGCAGCCCTCGGGCACTTCCCCCTGCCAGGTGATGTTGTCTGACTGACTCATTTAACCAGGAGCCCGTCTCCTGTTCTCTTAGTTCCTATCCACCATGACAGGTGAGCAGTCAGAAGAGGGTCATCCAGCTCTCGCCACCTTGCCTCCCACCTGCAGCCTGTGGAACCACGTGCCCTTCTCTCTCCATCAGACTGGAATGCTCAGTCCAAACTCCAGCCGAGGGCATCCACCGTGATGCCTTGCATCCCATCCCTCCTGGGCATCTCATCCCTCCTGGGCATCATGCCAGCATCATCAACCCATCCCCGGGCCCTCCCAATCATTCGCACCAGCAACTGAACATGCTTAACAACAAAATCAAGCACAATTTCTTTTTTCCCGTTTCCCTCTCCAGCTACCGCCCCATTTCTCTGCTTTGATTATGGATTGTTTTTAAAGGGAGTCCATAAAGATGCCCCTTCCTTTTATAAAATGAATTTCCCACTGGGGAACCCAGCCATCTGCTTGCTCTTGGAAGATGTGTGCGACCTTCGCTCTTTCTTCCTTACTCTCTCTCTTCCCCCGTTCCTTCCAGACACATTCTCAGGGTGCCCCACCGTCACCCCCTTGTGTTCTGGAGTTCTCACTACTCCGTTGTGCTGTGGTCTTTTCCCTCAGTCTGAGCACCTGCCCACCCCATGGCAACCTTTTTGATTCAGTGGCCAGGCAGCAGTTTCCTGATTGCCAGCAATTCCCCAGGCGCTGTTGTTACCCACCCGCCTGCTACACGCACCTGCCTTTTCCTGTGTGTCTCCTCAGCGCTTAATGTGTCTGCTCGCTGCTCATTTGTTCCTGCAGCCCAACACGTCTGTCTTCTCACCTTTAGCTATTTTAGAAGGTGAACCTAAGAGGATGGTGTACTGGTTTATCAGGGCTGCCACAACAAGAAGCCACAGACCGTGTGGCTTAAACAACCCAGAGATTTATTCTCTCACAGTCTGGAGGCTGGACGTCCAGGATCACGGTGTCAGCAGGGCTGGTTTCTTCTGAGGCATCTCTTCTTGGCCCGTAGATGGTGTCTTCTCCCTGTGTCCTCACACGGTCATCCCTCTGTGTGTGTCTGTGTCCTGATCTCCTCCTCTTATAAGGACATCAGTCAGATTAGATTAGGGCCCCCCAATGACCTCATGTAGCTTAATCACCTCTTTCAAGACCATCTCTAACAAAGTCACACTCTGAGGCGCTGGGGGTTAGGACTATAAACTTTGAAGGGAGATGGTTCAGCCCATAACAGGTGGTGACAGTGGGGATGAATATCCTCCTCAGGATTTATGACATGTGAGCTCTTTGAACTCACTGTTTTGTTTCATCCCCACAGTGACCTTACCTACCCGTCTTGTCGTGCACATTCTCGAGCACATGAATGACCAGACGCAAACAGATGCTACCTAGCGTCTCATGACACAGCATCTCGTCTCTTCTCCCACAGGACGTACACCTTCAGCCTAGCCGTGGACCTGAACTCCAGAAAGGACGGCGCAGCCAGCAGCAAACGGAATGGGGAATTTCATCCTCCACAAACGTCAAGGAGCCTCAGCAGCGTGCAGGCTTTGCAGGTGGCACAATCCCTTTTGTTTTCAGTGAAACCACACTTTATCTTAAGTCCTTGGTAGACATGGCCTCCCCCTTGGGCCTCCAAGGATGGAGCTTCTGATCTTTCGAGTCAGGGCTGGGAGACGAGGAGGCTCGTGCTCAGCAACCTGGAGGGATGGCAGCCTCAGGACCAGGGTCTGGGGCACGGCAGGGGCACGTGAGCCCCGCCAACAGGTGAGGCACATCCAGGAGTGAAGGGTGCCAGCAGGTGACCCAAGGAGCAGGCAGCCCCTCCCCAAAGCCAAACAAGTGACACAGCATCCCCGACACTGTCTGGGCGGTCCCAATCCAGCCCTCTTGTCTGAAGCTTCAGGTCCTTCCTTACGGGGGAACTCCCGTGGGCCGGGCAGCACCTGCAGCTCACCCTTGGCTGGTCCCCACGTCAGTGGAAATGCCTCTCTGGCCTGTGTGGTTACTGAAACAGTCCCTCCGGTCCCCACCCTGTCACACACGTTACATTAGGACTTCATCCCAGCCCCCTCCACCCAGCAGGGGAGGCATTCGTCCTTCCCCATCTCTGTTTTATAGATCTGAAGACTGAAGCTTATGGAGGCTGGGTAGCTTGGTGGGTAACACGCAGACACCTAAGCACCCCCCACATTGGGTTGTTGTGAGGATTACATGAGACAGGGTGTCCAGCGTCCACGGCAGGCCAGGCTGTAGATGTTAAGAGACTGTTACCACCCAGAGGGCAGGCTGTGGCTATCTGGCTCGTTCCTGTGTTCCCAGAGCCTGGCTCAGGGCCCAGCCTGCAAATCTCAGTGGATGAACCATGGAACGACCTAACAAAGGCCCTGATCGGGACTTGTGGATCGCCCTAAATTCAAAGCTCACCCTCCCTCTCCAAGAACCCATAGGCCACCCAGAAGCTGCCGCCAAGGCCAGGTGGGCTCCCTCCAGACAGGAGCTGAGCACAGGGCGCTGGACACTGGGAAGGCCATAGGGTGTCCCCTTTCGCCAGGTCTTCAGGTGGAGAGAGCATCCTTGGTGGAGGAGCCACAGACCGGGAGCCAGACACCTGCCAGCCACAGACAGACAAGAACGGGGCTCCCCGTATGGACCAGGGGAGAGGAGGCTGCCCAAGGCTGTGCCCCGCTTTCCAGACTGAACCACGGGGAGGAGCTGGAGCGAAAGTCTCAGGCCGTAGCTCGCCCTGTGTCTAAACCCGCTGGCGCCTTAGATGGATGCAAACCTCGCACAGGCCTCTCTATGAACCGAATGCGCCTCGGCTGGTCTGAGTTCACCCCCTCCACACAGTAAGAAAAGAAAACTGTGGCATCAGCTTTGGTAAAACGGACGTACAGGAGGCTGAATAATGGCCCCAAAGAGAAGAGGTCGTGGTCCCTGGAAGCTGCGAATGTTACAAGGAACAAGGTTCTTTGCATATGGGACCGAGTTAAGGATCTTGATGGGGAGTTTATCCCGGATTATCCGGTGGGCCCTAAATCTAGTCACAACTGTCCCTGTGAGATGGAAACAGAGGGGGATTTGCTGCCGTAGAAGAGGAGAAGACGGACGCACAAGGAGGAGGCCGTGTGACCACAGGGGCAGAGATTGGAGCGATGCGGCCACAGGCCAACAACTGTCAGAGCCACCCAGAGCTGGCAGAGGCAGGAAGGACCCTCCCCTAAAGCCTCTGAGGAGGCATGGCCTTGCTGACACCTTGATCTCAGACTTCCAGCCTTCAGGACTGGGAGAGGATACATTTCCTTTGTTTGAAGCCTCCTGGTTGGTGGCACTTTGTTACGGCAGCCCCAGGAAATGCACGCGGCATCTTATGTCTAAAGATGCAGTGCAGCCCTCTTGTTCTGTGGACCCCAGGGGTTAGTCCACTCCGTTCCCCCCACACCCCCGGAAGAAAATGCTCCGAATCCACAACCTCGACCCGACGCGCGTTGTCGTCTTTGGGATTGTCAGTAAGCAGACAGAGGCTGGGAGTCTGTCTGTGTCTTGCAAACTACTTGCAGATCAGCCCTTGACAGGGGAGGGGGACAGGGCACTTAGTATTCATTGTCACAGGGAAAAGACATCCTGGCGTGGGTAGAGGCAGAGCCTGCACAACCAGCCTTCAAAATTATGAGACAACAAGACAACCTTCCCCTCGGAGCTCTGCCCTAGGTCGGTGTTTGCATCCGAACTACACATCTGCACGCTGCATTAGGAGAGAATCATGATACTTGCTTTGCCCTGACCACATGTCCTTTTGAAGACTCGGCCCGAGTCTGAGAAACTGTGTATGGAGACTTTGAATGTTCCACGTTCCATAGGCTCACAAATACCACACTCACGCACCCAGCAGAATGTGGTCGGATCCACCGGGAACAGCCCAGTGCGTTAATCAGCTGGACAGCCTGCCTCGCCCAGATGGGTGTGGACTCCGTGAGGGGCTGGGAGGGTCTGGAGGAGATGCCCGTGGTGTTGGCCCCGAGAATGCCTGTGACGCAGGTGAAGTTTGCCCGAGACCCTGCTTTCTGGCGTCCCCTCCTCCTCAGCAATTGCAGCCACTTCCCAGCCTGTGGGGATGCTGCTGGGGGCCGTTCTTTCTCCTCACTGGTAAACTCAAAGAAGGGCTGGAGGAAGCAGCCGGATGTGCAGACCCCCCAGCCTCCACCCTGATCACAGAATCAAATCGGAAACGGGATGGTCAGTAGCACGGGCCACCTTCAAGGGGTTCCCTCTTTTTTCTGGGGCTCCTGGAGGAAGGTTTGTGCTCCACACAGCTGTCGTGGTGGCCTCATGTTGGCTTGGCCATCAGCAGTGTGCTTGTCGCTCCCCACCTCTCTGGCCGTCCTTGGGTCCCGCTCACTCTCTCCATCCCTTTCCCAGGAGGTGTGCTCAGCGTTCCCCTCAAGGTCAAGCCCGGCCTCCTACAAGCCCTCACAGATGTAAAAGAGAGAGGCGAGCCCTAGCTCCCCTGGGGACCAACACCCACACTTAGGAGCCCTTCCTAAAAGGCACCGCACATCATTGGGTTACTTCCCCCAAACACCAGCCTCCCCCAGAACAGAGGTGGATGCGCCCCGCAATTGTGAGGCTCCAGGGCCGTCGGAGGCCCTGCCCGAAGCCAAGGACGAGTGCCCCAGAGAGATCTGCTGTTTCCCTGGCTGGAAGCTGCTACCCCGTCAATGCCTTTCTCTTGCCAAAAATAAAGTAAAATAAAATTCTATTTCCCCCTAGCACTCAGCCAAGCAGAGAATGGCCAGCATGGGAAAGAAGCAAGAGGTGTGGGTGAGGAGCTTCTCCCCTGGGGGCTCAGAGGCTGAACACACACTGGAGTGGTCCTGGAGGGCCCCTTGGAAGAGGACCAGTGCCAGCAACAGAAGAGACTTGATAAATAATAGATAGATGGATAGACAGATAGATGAAAGATAGATATAAAATCTATATATATATGTATGTTTTACATATAGATAATATATACTATCTATTATGATATAATGTATGATATATGTATAGATATGTTCTAAGAAGTCACTATGGGGGCCTCCCTGGTGGCGTAGTGGTTAAGTTCGCGCACTCTACTTCAGCGGCCTGGGGTTCACTGGTTCGGATTCTGGGCGTGGACCTATGCACCACTTATCAAGCCATGTTGTGGCAGGCATCCCACATATAAAGTAGAGGAAGATGAGCACGGATGTTAGCTCAGGGCCCATCTTCCTCGCCAAAAAAAAAAAAAAAGAGAAGAGGTCACTATGGAGGGATGTTATGGTCTGAATGTCTGTGCTCCCCCCAGATTCATATGTTGAAATCCTGTCCAGTGTAATGGTTTTTGGAGGCGGGGCCTTCAGGAGGTGCTTAGGTCATGAGGGTGGAGCCCCCAGGAAGGGGATTAGTGCCCTTGTAAAAGGGACCCCACAGAGCTCCCTGGCCCGTGCTGCCATATGAGGACACAGTGAGAAGTCAGCCGGGGAGAGGGCCCTCACCTGACCGAGCTGGCACCCCGATCTCTGGCACCTGAGATTTGGCCTCCAGAACTGTGAGGAATAAACGTCTGCTGTTTATGAGCCCGCAGTCTGTGGAATTGTGTTACAGCAGCCTGAAGGGCTGAAAAACAGAGAAGCTGCTGTGCTGTGGTGGGAGCATGCCTGTTGCTTTTCATTTCCTGTATGATGTTACAATACCTGGGAAATAAAAAGTTGCAGGAATTTGAAGAGATTTCCACCTGCAATTCCTCCTCTTCTTTCTTTGTAATGACTTTGGTAAAATGGGCTGTAGCTACTAAACAAGGAAGGGATTCCATTTCTGGGCCAGCTCTTGGATGACTAGGAGAGACACTGTTTGAAGTCTAGTAACGTGGGTGTTGAACTGCGCACGCCTTTCTTTCCACCGTCGCAGGCCACAATAGTGAGGAAAAGCGTGTTGGTGGTGCGGCACGGAGAGAGAGTGGACCAGATATTCGGGAAGTCGTGGCTGCAGCAGTGTTCCACGCCTGACGGTAGGTAACGTCCCGGCAGAATCTAAAGCAGAAATGAGACAGATCTAACAAATGAGATCACCTTCTCGACTTTCCTAGCCAGATCCCCCACGGCCCCGTTCTTTAGAATGACTAGGTGCAGGTTGTTTGTGTGGGATGGATGCTTGTTCCAGCTTCCCCCACAGGCATTACATGTATGCCGTTGAGCGTGTATGTGGTCTACAAGCATCTTACCTCCAACACCTTGTAGACGGTGGAGGAATGGCTGTCGAGAGTAAGCCAGTCTGCCGGTGGGACACACGCACGGTCCTGTTTACTCTAGCAGCACACATACGGTCTTTGATGAGTGCAGCCAGCATTGACTTGAGAGCGAGTCACCCTGACCTGTGGTCTCTGAACCCTCGGCTGCTGGCATGTACCCCATCTCACCATCTCATCACTCTATCTCTCCAAGCTAATCTTCAGTGGTCATTTGCCTACAATGCTTGGCTCTCCTGCTCAACTGGTGGATGTATTTTTAAATATGAGTCTTGCTTACCCCTACATGACCCCTCTGGATGCCAAGAACTAAGGACAGTGCTTATAAATACAGCATGGCCTCAGGCCGGTCTCTGCACTGATGACCCATATCTGTATCAAGGCACATCCCCAAATGGAAAGGCCAGCGTGTCACAATTTTTAAGCCATAGATAACTATATAAATGAAGGTATTGAATGAACAGAGTGATAAAATTCATTCACAGTAGCTGGGCTAGCCGAGCCCTTTTGGGATCCCACCAGGAGCCCAGCAAGCCAAGAAAGGAAAAATGAATAGGGAAAACAATTGGCAGATGACCAGCACACCCCAGAAAATTCTGCACAAATCACATCATGACCAAACTTATCTCCAGGAACCCACAGAATAATGCTATGGTTGTCTCCACAATGCAAAATCAGGCAGAGATACAAAGGCTTGACAAAGAAACAATGCGACAACAGGTGGCCGTGAGGATGAATTGACTTTCAAACACACACTTATAAGAAACTTTCTTGTAATAGAACAATTATTGAAACCACAGATCGAAATGGCACACCATGTCAGTGTGCGCCTGGTAATATGGTTCAAGAACGACTAGAAAACAACCAACACCAAAAACAGTCATTGCACTTCATGGAGACAGAAAGAATTTCGGTCATGTAGACAAAAGACCGAGTCAGCCCTACAGGGGAAAATATTTTAAAGGCACTGGAGAGTCCCAGCTGAAAGGAAACTCCTGGTGGATCGTTTTATAAGGTAGAGAAGCCCTTGACAAAGTGAGTAGTCGCAGTCTAATTTGTCTGAATTTTGCATATTACATTGTTTAATCAATTACGATGGGGTATCTCGGGTGCTGCTGGCCTCTCCTATGATTCCAGTTTTCCTCCTCGTTTCTGCTCACTTCTGGCCCAAGTCCCCCTCAAAGGGCTCCTAACCTCTCGGCAGCGCTGGCCCAGGGCACCCCCTATGATGTGCAGACTGTACTCCCGTGGGAACCTAACCCTACCCTGTATGCTCGTCTTCCTCTGAGCTCTGATCTCTGCCTCTTGCAGTGACCACTGATAGTGTCAAAAGACCTAAACGGAATCGGTTAACGCTTTGAGAATCACAGACGCCTTTGAGAATATGACACAATTGATGGAAGTTCTCTCTGAAAAATAAAGAAATACCAGCTTCCCCAGAGAACACAGCATATACTGCGGCATTTAATAAAGGCCTTTAGAACTGATAGTTTAAATAAAGTCTCTGCCCATGGAAATTCCAGGAGAGGAGCTTTCGGAAAACTCTTGCATAGAACCTAAAAAACAAGGCATGCAAAAATAGCCAGCTGTCTCCCCGTGAGGTGTAGCGGGTCTCAGGAGGGCGGCTTGGCTGCTGGAACCTGTTGGGGGCCGGGAGACGTGGGGGTCCGTTGAGAGGATGTGAGGGCTTGGTGTGGGGTAGTGGCCTCTGCAGGGGTAATCAATAATCTGATAATGAGATCGGACCTACCACTTCTCCACCACTTCCTCTGAGCCAGGCTCTGGGTTCTGGGCTTTATCTCACTGAGTCACTGCAGTATCTCCATCATTTCCCCCTTTTCACTGATAAGGGAGATTAAGGCAGTTGCCTCTAATCTCACAACTAGTAGTTGGTGGTGCCAGGATTTGCACAGACTGTCAGATCTTAGAGCTCAAGGTCAAACTCAGAGTGAACCATGGTTCTTTGCAGCCTCTGGATGGGTGGGTGGGGGATCCCAATGAATCCACCTGATTTCCAGTCCGGCCTCAAGCAATTGACTGAACAATGCACAACGCAGGAGCCGCTCTGGCCGTAAGTATTCCGGCCCCCTTGGCAACAGGACACGCTTAAACCTGGAGGAATGGCTCGAATTTCACATAATTAATTAACACCAACTGGAGATTCTTATCAAGTTAAACTAAATGAGTAATGGAGACGCTTGGTTCTTAATCGGGAAAATTGTATGTATGAATCTTTGTGAGGGGTTACGAGAGAACGTAATTCGTGATTCCCGGGGGTGAAACCTGAGTTTTCTGTATTTGAGGAAACATATGCACAGCAGAGCACCAATTTCACCTCCAAGTGAATCCACATCACAGAGCACAGTCGGGAAGAAAACACAGTTGACAACAGTTTAAATAACAACCATGCTTCTAAGTGGGTCTTGATCTCGGGAGTTCTGTGAGACGAATGTGTGCGAACTCGATAGAACCCTGAACACCTGGTCCTTATTTCTGCTTCAGGGAAATACTACCGGCCAGACCTCAACTTCCCTTGCAGCCTGCCCAGACGGAGCAATGGCATCAAAGACTTTGAAAACGATCCACCGTTATCGTCTTGTGGAATTTTCCAGTCCAGAATGGCAGGTATGTTTGAGGATCATTCCGGCAGAAATTGTAACCATAATCATAACAATGATTCCCACTAACGTGCGTGGAGACCTTGCTACATGCCTGTTGAGGTCAGTGTTAGCATTATTCCTGCTCTACTGATGAGGAAGCTGGGGCACAGAGAGGTTAAGTAAGCTGCCCAAAGTCACACAGCTAGTAGATGGAAGGGCAGAGATTTTATCCAGGAATCGATGGTTGGGAAAGTCAGGAGGACTGAAAGACAGGCATGGAAAGAACCAGAGAGGGGAGGAAAACTCAACAACCACTGTGGGCACGAAGGACAGCATTTAAATATTTAAAAACCACATCTTCTCTTTGATTTTATTTCAAAATCTGTCACTTTGGGCTTTTGCTTTATGTCTGGGCTTCTGGTTCCACGTGATTGAATTTTTAGAACAGAAGAAGCTTCTGAGTTCATCTGGAGTTCATTTTGTGAATTAAGAAACTCAAATCAAGAACCAGAAGGCCCATGGGCTTCCCAAGTCACACAGCTGGTTAACTGAAGGGATGCTCTGGAACCCAGAGCTCCTGGCTCCTCACCCAGTGGTGTGGGGTAAATGCTTGGTCACTGGCTCTCTGGGCAGGCTGGAGAAGCCCTGATTTCCGGCATTTGCTGATGTCCGTGGTGTAAATACTGTGTTCATACCATGGCTGGTTTCAAGCCACTGATTCAAGGTCACTGAACGTGGAGTTGGGAGAGGTGACACGGTGGGCCCTCCCACAGTTAGATGTGACCTGCTCCACACGGGCCTTCCTGGGCTCCCTCCTCTGCAGTGCATCGTAGCCCACGTGTGCACACACGTGTGTGCACGCTGGTACGTGTGCCCCTTGGGTAACGTACCTCTGCAGCTCTGTGTTTCATGCCTGAATCCTCATCTAGATGTTGGCATAGCTCTGTGTGTGTGTTTGGGAGTATCTGTGAAAGGGTATCTGTCCGGGCAATTGTTGGCCCCTGTGTGCATTCCCTGTGGCTGCCATAGCAAAGGGCCATAGATGGAGTGGCTAAATTGAGAGAGATTCATTTCTCACGGTTCTAGAAGGCTGAAGTCTGAGATCAAGGTGCCAGCAGGGTTGTTCCTTCTGAGGGCTGTGAGGGAAGGCTCTGTTCTGGGCCTCTCTCTCTGGCTCATAGATGGCTGTCTTGTCCCTGTGTCTTCATGTCATCTTCCCTCTGTATTGTCTCTGGGTCCAAATTTCCCCTTTTGTAAGGACACCAGTCAGATTGGAGCAGAGCCCACCCTAATGACCTCATCTTAGCGTGGTCACCACTGTGAAGACCCTACATCCAGAGAAGGTCACACGCTGAGTTAGTGGGAGTTGGGGCTCCAACATATGAATTTGGGGGCACAATTCAGCCCATGACAGCATCCACGAAATCCTCACTGGCTGTGGTACCGTGTCGACTTTGTGCTGAAGAGATGGCCTTCTTTCCCAAAGATCAGGCCCTCTGATTTTGCAAGAGGACATGTGCTTTACAGGCCTGTCCTTCCATGAGCCTCGGGTAGTCTTGAGTTTCCCATCGCTGCAGAGCAAATTGCCATGAGCTGAAACTGGCACCCGCTTGTGGGCTCACAGTCCTGTAGGTCAGAAACACAGCACGGCTGGCTGGGTTCGCCACTCGGCGTCTCAAAGCCTGAAATTAAGGTGTCAGCTGGGCTTAGTTCCCATCTGGAGCAGCTTGGAAGCGGTTTCGATTTCTCCCCAAGGCAGTTGGGGGAATTCAGTTGTTTGTGGTTGTAGGACTGAAGTCTTCCTTTCCTTGCTGGCTGTCAGCAAGGAGCTGTTCTCAGTTCTTAGAGACCACCCACCTCCCCTGCCATGTCATCCCCTCCATCTTTGAAGCCAGCAATGGAGAATTTCTTGCATGTCAAGTCCCTCTACCTTTGAACCTCTCTGCCTTCTTTTCTGCGATCAGCCGGAGAAAATCTCTGCTTTTAATGGGCTCAGCTGAATGGGCCAGGCTCCAATAATCTGCGATAATCTCCCTCCTGCCATGTAACATAACATAGTCACAGGGGTGCTATCCCACTCTATTTGCAGCTTCCACCCACACTCAAGGGGATTATACAGGGTGTGTACACCAGGGGGTGGGAATCTTGGGGCCACTCAAGGTCCTGCCTACCACAGGTAAGCCGCCCATCGGAGAGGCCACTGTGGGAGGCTACAGTTATGACAAGGCCTTTTCCACCTGCTGTTTTCCAGGGGAAGCGCTCCTGGACAGCGGCATCAGAATCACCTCGGTCTTCGCCTCCCCAGCCCTCCGCTGCATACAGACAGCCAAACACATCCTGGAAGGTGGGTGAGAACTGCTCAGAGCTTCTCATGTTGCCTTGATCTCACGGTTTGTCTCCAAGGGGAGAGAAGTGAGCGGAGGGGAGAATGGGATGAGTGACGATGAATGCCACCTAAGTCATAAGACGGTGAGGAACCAGCCATCCAAGAGCCGTCAGCCCGTTAACATGTCTGGGATGCCAGGGTTGTAACTGACTGCCAGGCGCCTGTCATCACACTTTACCCCTGGCCTGCTTCTGCCATGCGTTTGGTTGGTTTTTTTGAACATCTGGAGAGGGGCATTCAGAAACCCAAAGAGCTGGGAACTTCTGTGGTCCCATAAAGTCCAAAATGCCGATTTCCCAGGACAAGGGGATCAGCTACTGGGAGCTGTCCAGCACCATCAAAGGCTGATGTGCGCTAGGAAGCCGCTGGCAGACCTCCTGCAGCGTCCACCTGCCAGAGAAGGGTAGCCCGTTCTGGAGGCCTCGGTTCTGCTTCCCCCTCTGCACCCCCGCCCTGCCCTCCTCGGGTGGGGAGGAGGCCACGTGATGCAGTTCACAGTGCGGGAGCACAGGCAGGTCCTCCACAAGGATAGGACGGAGGGCAGAGTACATGGGCACGCATGCAGCAGGTGGGCAAAAGTGGAGGACGGGGCTCGCCCAACTTTCTCAGAGTCGTAGGAAGTCAGGTCACGCTGAAAGTGAGGGGGGGGGGCCTGCTGGACATTTGAGGAGCGCCGAAGGGACGAAATGCTCCTCAGGGAGAGGGGCCAGGCCGTGGGAAATTATAGGATGGCGGCTGGGCCTCACAAAGAGCCCACTTGAGTCAGTAGCTGGGCTGGGGGCTTTCCTCCAGACGTGGAGCTGGAGCAGCAGGTGGAGACCTGGATAAACCATGGACAGGTTTGAGAAGTGAGGACAAGGAAGTTCAAGAGGGCGTGAGGAACCGAGAGTGCACACCAGAGGGCGACGATGATTGATGGCAGATTTTAAGCTGGGTAAACTGGGGAGTTAGAGCCTGGGGGAGGTGAATGATAGAGAAAAAGGAGTTTTTATTCAGTGCAGTAAAACCCTGGAGGGACGGCTGGATGGTTGGAGTTAGAGGATGAGAGAGAGGAAGCTGCAAAGAAAGGAGGTCTGGTTGGAGACAGAGTCTGATGCCAAGCTTAGAGAAGGGGTGCAGCTGCTGGTAATGACAAGATCAAGTGAAGGGAAGGTGCCAACGAGGCAGGGAGGGAGGCACACTGAGGAGGGGCACAAGGAGCCAAGAGACTATTGCTTGGTGAGCCATCCTGCAGATAAAGGTGTCACCAGGCATCGTACCCGGAGTAACATCAGAGAGAGGACAGAGAGTGGGCGCTGAAATCTTCATGGGAGGAGCTGTTGAAATGATGGTGGATCAACGCAGCACATGTGCCACGACCGGCCCCTGTGTCTTCTCCTGTCTCCTATACTTCTATCAGAGAAGCTCTGGCACGGTGTGCTTCCCGTCCGAGCGTGCAGACAGGAGTCCCTCCCAGGAAGGGAACTGGTCCGTGCTCTGGACCTGCGCAGGCACTTGACGCAATCCGTTCCTTTCCTGTGTTCTCATGAACTTGCTGTTTCGTGGTCCAGTCTCTAAGTCGTGAGGGACAGAAATCCATTTTATCAGCAAAGAGTGTCCACAGTCCACCTTCCACGTACTTAAAACTCAGAGGCGGTGTCTGGGTATCTGCAGCCCCCAGCCATCCCTCATTTGTCATTTCTCACCAGAGCGTGACAGCAGACCCCAAGCCCCGCTGCTTGGGGTTTCAGGTCTCTAAGACTTAGAAATGCGGATTTGTTTCAGCTCACTGTAGAGGGCTGCGTGTTGATTACTGCTCCTCTGGGCTCTCAACAGATTGAGCCACATGCAGGCTAAAGTACAACGTCAGCTTTCCAAACAAACCAGCTGAGGGCCCAGGAACCCCCAAATGTGTGACTTCTAGTGTGGCACGTTGAGAGAGGTGGCCTGGCCCTGAAGCCAAAACAAAGCTTCCTAACACATCTCGTCCCCTCCCCACCAACACACGCATGCACACACGCACACATACACTGTCAAACATACACACACTCACACACACATACACCCCTTGGGGTTTCATTCAGCCGCAGAGTCGTAGGCTCTAGTGTTGGAGAGAGACCAGGAGAAGGAGCCTGTCACCCTGCTGCTTTTTCGAAGCAGTGACCCCCACCTGGGAAACACGGTCCCCAGGACGTCAGACTCCCCGTTTCTGCGTTCAGATCTGTAGGTCACCCCACCCCTCTCCTTTCATTCAGGAAGGAATAGAAATGAGAAGTGCCAGGACTGCCTTTTGCCAGAGGAGGGTGGCGAGAGGGGAAATGGCAGCACGAAGGCACAGGGTTCCCCTAATAACTGGGTTACCCCTTCCTGGCTGTGTTTGTTCTAAACTTTCCAATTTGAGGATAATTCTTAATAAATATAATGGAATAAAGCAAAATAGATCCGAAGGAATCTCATGCCTGGATTGCTTAGCACCAACGCATTTATAATTAATCAGATGTGAGCAAAGCAAGAACGCGTGGAAATATGCGATAGAAGGTGACCCACTGGCCCCTGACTTTCCCGTCTCCCCCGCTGCCTCAGCCCTTTATGGGGAGCATTTAATGAGCTCACTGTGTTCTAACCCACCCTGAGGATGCTCCTTTTCCACTGACCTTCAAAACCACTAATTTCCATCTTTGGCTGGCTGCCTGCTGATGAGCTGGTGTGAAACCTTGTGGACCGCCTGTGTCCAGCCAGGTCAGCACTTGAATGTGGACGATCAAGTCGACATTCGAACCCAAGTTGAGGGTTCTTTTCTAAGGATGATCTTAATCTTCCTTTCCTACCCAACCTGTCTCACCATGGTATCAACACATGAATAAGAAGATAAGGAATATTCTTTTGGCCAGGATTCCTAATAAAAGAATATGATTGAGAGCTTCAAAAACATTTTTTCATAACTTTATCCCTTTTTTGTCATCACTCATGTTTCTTCATTTTAACATTTTTGTTCCAATTTTTCGTAAATTTTTTGACTTTTATTATTTGAGTCCCTTGCATGAAAAATAAAAAGTTCTCCAAAATGTTTTGTGTTTTCTGACAATGATAATGTCAGTGTCTTTAACATGATCTCTCATTGACTTTTACTCTATATGCAGATGATGTTGATGATGATGATGAAGTCTGTTTAAAGAGCACAAATTTATAAATCCTGTGTTTATCCAGAAAAACAAGGATTCCCAGCCTTCTTCATAAGTCCTCAAACCTGACTCGCCCATTCTTCAGACTGACGTCTGAGACGCTAATAGGCTAACCTCTATCTCAATACCGTGTCAATGAATGTCCAGATGGACCATTTCCCAAAGTGTGACCCACACAACAGTGGCCACACGATGTCCTCAAAGGAAGAATGGCCAACCCCATTTGGGAAGCTCTCCAGCTGTTCCTTCACAGGACACGAGCCCTTCACAGGCTCTGGGGAGAGCTCAGGAGCCTGGTTAGCCCAGTTTAACTCTCTTTTCTAGACTTGCTTGTTAAAGGACCCCACCGCCTGGACCCAGAATACACTTGGGGAACTGGCTGTATTTCCAGCATTTGAGTTTGACTGTACTTTCTCCATTTCAGATAAAAACATTAAGATTTTTCCTCCCACTCTAAAAGAGATGGCCTTAGATTTTGGGTCTTTTAGTCAAGGTATGAAAGGCTTGGGAAGGGTGAGTTGTGAGGAGTTAGAATGTCCCAGAAGATGGCCCCCTTCCAGCCTTCTCCTTTTGCTCAGTCTGGTACCAGTGTTTATCAGAATGGCGCTTCAGTGCGACCAACACGCTCCTCGATTGGCTGCATCTTTCCCACGGATCACTGGATCAGCCAGGTCTTTTTACGTGCGCTCGCCTTCTTGACCCGAGGCTGAGCCCCCAGCGTTTTTGTCTCGGAAATAGCATAATTGTGCTTAATCACAGAACAGTATTTGCCAAGAAAAAAAAAATCACATTTTTTGAAAGATACTATTTAGACCTAGGGAGAGGCTTATTTACATAAAGCCAAAATGGCCTGAAGATGATAAACGCTTGTATTCTGTTGTTGAATCCAGAACTCAAACTGGAGAAGAGAATTAAAATAAGAGTGGAACCCGGAATCTTCGAGTGGACAAAGTGGGAGGCCGGCAAAGCAGCCCCGACCCTCATGAGCCTGGAGGAGCTGAGAGAGGCGAATTTCAACGTCAGCATGGATTACAGGTATGCCGCCTCACGTCGTCTCCTGCTGGGGCTAAGTTCTCGTTCAGGAAAAATTATTTCGACACTTGTTAAAGATGGTAAGAACGACTTTATCCAGGAAGGAGCACTGCAGTGGGGGTTTGCAGTAGGGGAGAGAGAAAGGACTCGGCTCCACATATAATAGGGACCAGTGGGGATTTTTAGCGGAGGAGCAGGGTTGGGGTGGGAGGATGGGAAAGTCCTAAGAGAGAAGGGTAATTCTTGCTGGACTGACCTAACAGGATTCTTGCTGAAGGCAGGCCGAGGTGGCCAGACATCCCCAGCCGGTGGGGGAGGATGCAGAGTTTACTCAGCTATTGAGGGTGTAGAGTTCTGGCTAAACCGACTTAGCAGGATTCTTACAAAAACTGACTCTACGAGGCCGGATGCTGAAGCCCAAAGGTCGGGCTAGATGAGAAGAGGGTTCGGGGGAGCCTGGCTAGAGTTTGGTCAAGGAGAGAATCTTTGTCATTCTCGCTCCATGGCTGACTCTTGGCCATCACAAAACCCGTCCGGTGTTCAGTAAGAATGCACGCTGGAGATTGAACGTCAGCCCTTTGCCAGTGTTGAGCACAAAACTGGAGCCTCGCTGTGGAGGCCTGGAGGCAGAGCCATCTTGGAGAATGTTCCCTTCTCCAGATGACCACAGGTGAGCAGTTGAACATTCCCCTCTCTCTCCCTTTAGGCCTGTGTTGCCCCTCGCCTCCCTCATGCCGGCCGAGAGCTATGATGAGTATGTTGACAGATGTGCCATGAGCATGGAACGGATAGTCAGCATCTGTCCAGAGGACGGTAAGTGCCTCCACTGTCCTCGGGTGTGAGCAGCCCCCGGGGCTGGGATCTTACCTTTGGGATGGAAACTGGCCGATCTTGCAAACCTAGTGATGCCTCAACCTCCCCCACCCACACTCCCCAGCCAACAGAGTGTTTGATGACTGCCTGTATGGTAGCGAGGCACATAGACACACACTCCCCCACTGTCCAGGTCCTGGCCCCCACTCCTCGGACTGAGAGCCGATGGGACCCAGGACAACAGGGTCAACACAAACCACCTGAACTGCTTCCTGAAAAAAAAAGAAAAATGTCTGTTCATATCTTCTGCCCATTTTTGGATCAGTTTGGTTTTTTGTTGTTGAGTTGTATGAGTTCTTTATGTATTTTGGAAATTGACCACTTGTCAGATACATGATTTGCAAATATTTCTCCCAGTTGGTCGGTTGTCTTTTCCTTTTGTGGATGATTTCCTTTGCTGTGCAGAAGCTTTCTAGTCTGGTGTAGATGTGAACAGACGTTTTTCCAAAGAAAATCTACAGATGGCCAACGGACACCTGAAAAGTCATCACTAATTATTGGGGAAATGCAAATCAAAACTACAATGAGATATCCTCTCACACCTGTCAGAATGGCTATAATTAATAAGACAAGAAGTAACAAGTGTGAGAGAAGATGTGGAAAAAGGGAAGCCCTCACAGACTGCTGGTGGGAATGTAGCCTCTACAGAAAATGGTATGAAGATTTCTCAAAAAATTAAAAATGGAAATACCATATGATCCAGTTATTCCACTACTGGGTATTTATCCAGAGAACATGAAACCAATAATTCAAAAAGATATATGCACCCCTATGTTCATTGTAGCATTATTCACAATAGCCAAGACTTGGAAGCAGCTCAAGTGCCCATCAACAGATGAATGGATAAAGAAGATGTGGTATATATACACAATGGAATACTACTCAGCCAGAAAAAAGACAAAATTGTACCATTTGCAACAAGATGGATGGACCTTGAGGGTATTATGCTGAGTGAAATAAGTCAGATAGAGAAAGACAAATATCGTATAATTTCACTCATATGTGGAAGATAAACAAACACATAGATACAGAGAACAGATTGGTGATTACCAGAAGGGAAGGGGATGGGGGAAAGGCGACAGGGATAAAGGGGCATACATGTGGGTAACATATAAAAACTAGACTATTAGTGGTGAACACGATGCAGTCTATGCAGAAGCTGAAATGTAATAACGTACACACGAAACTACACAATGTTATAAGCAAATAAAATTTGTCAAAACTCAAAAAAAAAAAAAAGAGACCAAGAACAGAACAACCAAACACCACGTCATGTTTGAATGAAAATGGGAATAAAACATCGATATGAGTAGATGGTTGAGACCACTTGAGAAATCTGGATATGGAATTTAAATATGGAATCTGAATGTGGAAATATGTAAGGAACTTGGTTACTTTTCTTAGTGTGATAATGGCATGGTGGTTTTCTAAGGAAGAAAAGTCCTTCCTCTTTGGAGACGCAAACTGAGGACTATTCTGTGAACGGGCGTGATGTTGAGATACACTTTAGAATAACACTGCAGGCAGAGGGGGCTGGGCAGGGGAGAGATGCTGCCCGATGGGCGGAGCTCGAGATGGGTCCACGGGGATCATCAGACCCTTCTTGGTGTGTATTTGAAAATGTCCTGTAAAACGTTCAAATCAAGCCTATAAAAATTTAAGCTAGCAAGTGTGTATTGAACGTCAGCGATGTGTCAAGCACCAAATAAAACACCACGGGAAAACCTAAGTGAAGAAGACACACGCTGTACCCTCAAGGAGTCTGAATATTGTTGGAGGAAACGGCACAGACGTCTGGAATATTAGAAGTATTAAATAAGACAGAGCAGAGTCTCAAAGAGTTGATTAGAGACCCCCAGGCCCGCTGCCCCCATCTATGTTCTTTCCATCTCTCATCCTGGAGAGGCTCGAGGATGGAGAACTCTGCACGGGAGGAACTTGGGGAGGAGCTGAGCATCAGGGGGACACGCTCCAAGACATCCTCCAGGAAGAGACCCCAAACCTTGCCATATCCAGCGCCCCAAACACACCCGGCCACCCGGCTGGTTTACATGGCTGGTTTTGACTGACGGGCGCCCTGAGGAGCGTACTTTTGGAAACCATGCCTCAGTGGCGTCTGATTAATTACCAGACTGACATTACTCACGGTTATTGCCACAGGATGTCAGAGAACAGAAAGTGAAATTAGAGCCTTCGCTGCTCTTTCGGGGCTCCACCCCAGCCTGCCCCTCTCTGGAATATCCCATTTCAGGCATCCACCTTGGGCTGAATATCAGCGTCCATGGATGATCCTCCCTTCCAAGGACCTCTCCCCGGTCCCCAGGTCTCCCAGAACGTGGGTGTAGACCATTGCTTCATTGATGCTGTTGTGCACACCGTCTCATGCCTCTCACTGCAGGGAACGCTGGTCGGCCATCCGTGGTTGTGGTGCACGTGGCTGAGTTCTCGGGATGCAGCACTTGACCTGTAGAATGAGTCCTATTTGGAAGGCAAAGGATTCCCCAGGAGGAGGAGACCATGAGCAGGCAGGAAGGCCAGACATGTGACAACAGTGAAAAATCCGAAATACCCCTGGGCAGGAGGGTAACAGCTAACACCTCCCGCTCCCCCAACTTGGGTGGGCCCTTCACACACTTTGTGAAATCCTCACCTTCCTGCAATGGCTGAAATATCACCTCCATTTATACCGTGTGAGTTTGAAGCTCAGAGGGGCTCAGAGGCCTCTGTGCCCAGGTCACCCCACTCAAGAGCACAGGCCCAGAACAGCATCCTGGCAACTGCACCAGGATTTTGGAAGCCAAAGCTATGAGTATGAAATGAACAGGAACTAACACAGGGAAAGTGGATCAAGACTGAGGTCCAGGCGTCACATTGGAGAATTGATGGTCACGTTAGGAGGAGCATGAATGGATGCTCTGTGTCGGCCGTAGCTTTCAAAGGAAGCTCTCTGTTCTGATTCTCTCCTCCAGGAAGAGTGGGTGGGTCCCGTCCCAGGCACCTTCCTGACTCGCCAGTGGGTCTAACTCCCCCCAGTTCTGCTTCGTCCCGGTCTTGGCTCCCGGGTCATGTCACCTGAGGGAGACTCACTCAGCCCGGACTCTGGATCTCTCAGGTGACATGAGAGCCATCAGCAGGCTCATCGTGATCAACTGGCTGATAAGCTAATGGATGAGGCTTGGGCGGCAGCCACCACAGCATCCCATAGTAGGGCGGTGGCTCTGATCACAGCTGGCGGCTCAGGTCACCGCCCAGCCCCATCTCTGAAGTTCGCGGGCAGGTGCTGCCACCCCCAGACCCTGCATGGGATGTGATGGGCTCTGAAGAGTGACATACAGATGAGAGGGGGAACTGTGAGTCTTAGTAAGCTGGTACCCACCACACCTGCTTCCCGCCCCCACCCCGGCTCTCTTGAGGCGATGGGGCACCACAGTGTGGTTCTAGCGATGACTTTGGGGACCCCCGGCCTAATAAAAGGCACTCTCTGTACCTGCGTTGACCTGAGTTTCTTTTTCCTGCCGTAGGTGTCATCCTAATCGTGGGCCACGGCTCGGCACTGGACTCCTGCACGCGCCCGCTTCTGGGGCTGCCCCCGCGGGACTGCGGAGACTTCGCACAGCTGGTGAGGAAGGTACGTGCCCGCCCCTTTCTCTAGGACCACAAAGTCAAGCACCCCAAGGACGCAGGGTCATCGCACGCCCTTCTCAGAACAAAAACAAGTGTCCAGCCGACCCAGGACAGCAGGGACCCACCTGTCCCCTGAGAACGTGCCACCTGCTCGTGAGCAAAGGGCAGCCTTGGGCTGGGGGCTAATGGGAGAAGTTTGTCATCCTCATTATCATTATGGCAACGTTGGCCATTTGTTGCCAAGATAACATAAAAAACAAGACATGGGGCTTTTTTACAATCAGCTCACACAATTCCTTACAACTCCAGTAGTTACACAAACGGTCCATAAGCGATTTGCGGAAGAAGAGAAAGGACAAGTGCTGGGCTGGCCAGCTCTGGGGCCCTAGGGGGGTTAGGATTAGAAACAACTGTCCTCTCCAAAGTGCCCCCAAGGTGGTATTTCCCAATTATGGCCCAGATGTTCCCGAGCACGCTGCGTTCCTGGGCCACCAGTGGACCATCATCCAAACACGTGGCTCAAGCCCCTACAGGTCACCCTGGGAAATGTCCATATAGATTTCTGGGGGGACTCTCCTCGTCGGCCCCAGTGCCACCTGCTCCCTAAGCGTTCTCCTCCTGCACCTGTCACCATGTCTCCTGTCCCTGCACCCCTTCCCACACCCCCGGGCTCTGCGGGGGGACCCCATCACCCACACAGACAGCAGCGCTGCACACGCCAGACGCTGACTGAGAACTGCACGTTGAATCCTGCTCTTGGTGACCGAACCCCCACCCCTGCCCAACGCTTCACCTCCTCTCTCGAGATGCCAGCCTCGAACTTCCTTGAACCAAGGAATTTCTAGACATTAAAAAGAGAGAGCTGAAAAGGAAAGCAGACCACGTTTAAAAAAAAAAAAGCCTTAAAAGCAAAGATCTACTCCAACACATTCATTTTACAGCTGAAGGAATTGGGGTCTAAAGTTTCACTCTGTACTTTTTTCTTGGGTCTGAAAACTCAATCCCTGTGATTCTTTTGTGATGCTAAATTCGAGAATGGAAGCCGCTCTGCGGGCAGCAGGGCAGACGCTGACGTTTGGGCAGGAGAAGTCTTTGCAGTGGGGCCAACTACCCTTCGGACCTAGCACCCCCAGTTGTGACAAACAATAACGTGCAGACATTTCCCGTTGTCCCAAGGACGGGGGGAGCCGTCCCCACTGAGAATTGCTGTGTCAGGTGTTAGGGCTACGATGCCAGTGTGGGCACATTGTGCACACCTCCAAGACATAGGAACACCTGTCGGTTGGCTTTATAACGAGACTGCAATCTGACTGACCTGCTATATAATACTAATGAGGGATTTGACTCTGTTCCAGATCCCTTCTCTGGGTATGTGCTTCTGCGAAGAAAATAAAGAGGAAGGAAAATGGGAGTTGGTGAACCCTCCCGTGAAGACGCTGACCCATGGCTCAAACTCAGCGTTTAACTGGAGGAACTGGATCCTGGGCAACTGAGAGCCCCTGTATGTTTTCATAATTTCATGACGAAGTTATGAAACCCTCCGCAGAGGCCGTAAGACACCGTCACTTTGAAGGTATCTTCGTCTCGCCTGATATGATCTGTAGAAGCACAAAATGCACTTTCAGATTCCAGAACGTTTGCCATCGATTTCGTCTTTGTAACTGCGGATTCTTGCCCTGCAAGCTCAGCTGCGAGGATGCCACCTTGGAACATGTGTATCTGCCACGTGGCTTGCAGGGGAGTGAAGAGCTGTGACTCTAATTTCCAGGAATTAAAGACCCACCATATACACACCAAAAGAATACATGCACTTTATTTTCTATGTTCTTATTGTCACGTTCCCAACCGTTTTTCCTTTTTCTGTTTCAATCACTCTTTGGCTATGTCCACACAGGCCAAAAGAAGTGGAATATTCCATAGAATGGAACCAGAAAACCATCTACCAGATAGAAACCGGGGAACCACTCCTTGGTGTCCACAGCCCGGGTGTTAGTGTCCTGTTGGTCTGTAACAGATGACCATAAACAGAGTGGCCATTAAAAACCACACAAAACGTAAACACACTCACACAAATTTGTTCTGTTGCAGTTCTGGAGTCAGAAGTTCTAAAATGGGTCAGCTTCCTTCCGGAAGCCTGGGGAGCATCCTTTTCCTTGCCTTTTCCAGCTTTTAGACGCACCCGCATTCCTTGCCTTGTAGCATCTTCCTCCATCTTCAAAGACAGCCATGTCTCATCTTCAAATCTCTCTGTCCCTCTGCTTCCACCTTCGTGTGGCCTTCTGCTTCTGAGCCTCCTGTTTCCCTTTTCTAAAGACCCCGTGATGACACTGGGCCTACCCGATAATCCAGGATAACCACCCCATCTGAAGATCCTTAACTTAACCCGTCTGCAAACCCCTTTTATCGTGTCGAGGAACGTATTCTCCGTCTAAGGATTAGGATGTGGCCGTCTCGGGGGCCACTCTTCAGCCCACCACGTCCCCACACATCAGAGCTGATTAAACAGTCGCCCCAGGGGAGGATTTGAGACATCCCCTTGGTGCGGGTCCTTTTTAGCTTCTCCTTTTCTTCCTTTTGATCAAATGGAGGGGGAGGTGGGCTTTGCAAATGGGGTGGGGGGGGAGTGGCTCCTGCCCTGACCAAGAGGAGAGAGAAACCAGAGAGGAACCCGAAGCTCAGTGAAGTCGGCCCGAGATGGTGTAAATCCCGTGCCGCCTCTGACTTTAAGAAGTCGGTCCCAGTGGTGGATGGAGGGCTCCCCAATGGCGTCCTCCCACCCCTACGGCCACACCTGTTCCCACGGCCAATGCGGTCGCTGCCTTACACTGAAGCCCACCACGGCGCGGTAGGACTTGTCTGGCCTCTCTTCTTTCCCACCCCCGTTCCAGTTCCCATATTGTGCCACTCTCACAGCTCGGGACGGGGGCTGATCTGTAACCGGCCTTTTACAGAGCAATCACAGAGGCTGGCAGACAGTCCCAGCACTTCCCCTCAGTGTCCTGGGAGCAAAGGATCGAGGGGACTCTTGTGGAACAGAGATGGTGGACCCGGAACCCTGAGAGAGGACCAACCACGTCATTGAAAACACACCACGAGGCCATGCCTGACAAAAGGCACCTCACTTTATCGGTCCAACTCCATCTCCTGAGAGAAACAGAAATGTGTCTGTCCTTGTTGTCCTGTGCTCATGACATAGTCTTTCTCTCTCCAAATATAAAGAGGTTTAAAGCTGACACAGCAACCGAGAGAGAGCACAGCCCACCCACAGCCTCTTCCTACATCGGTCTATGTCACAATGAAATCTTTAGGGAGGTAATCCTGCATGCATCCCGACAGGCACTCACCAGAAAACAACCATCCAGTGGGACTGGGGACGGCAGCACCTCCCACGGGCACAGCGCCCTGCCCCTGAGCAAGCAGACGACTTCTTCTTTCTCTTCAGCAAAGATGTGGTCAGTAGGGGACCTCCCTCTTTTTTCTCTCCTGGATAGCCTGGTGCCACACCGACCTTATTAACTGTGAGGATGATGAAAAACTTGACAAATCCAGCAAATGGAGTTTAAGGAGTGGTCACCTCTTTGGGGTAGTCCACCAGAAGTCCGGATTCACCCTCTAGGGGTGAGGCTTCTGGGTCTGATGCCCCTGGGTAGTGAGGAGACAGATAAGGACCCTCCTCCTTGCTAGGCTACTGACGGAGGTCTGCAAGGGACCACGAGATAGATCTGAGTCTCAGATCTCGAGAGCAAGTGTGTAAGAGACACCATTTTCCTTATATTCTATGATTCTTGTTCTGGCCAGACCCCCATGCAGCTGCAATGGCAGAAATGCCCAGTTCACTCATTTTGAGCTTCTTTAATGAACCTCGTTACAAGGACAGCATCCCGGGGAACAGAATTGTGCTGGAGAAGGGCAGAGATGGAAACACCTTACGGAAGATTATCGTTATTTACTGTAAGTTTTCAACTCTGTGAACTAATAAGAAACCAATAAAGAAGGAAAGAAAGATCCCCGAGGAAACTCCTCACTCCTCTTTCCTGTTCCTGTGCAGATCCTGGGGCATTTATAAGCCTAGGCTGACCCCTGCTGACGTCATCCTGAAGTGGATGTCCAGGTACCACGGGCTCCCACCGCCAGCTGGCCACCCACATCTTCTCTTTGATTTCCTCACCTGTGGGTTTGAAAAAATAAACCTGCAAAGGAACGCTCCCCCGTGTTTTGCTTGCCTCCCCCTGACATGGCGGACGTCAATGTTGCTTATGAGCCTGTGGCACGATGACTGCCTGGCATTCTTCCCACCCTGTACTTAGCTCTTTCTGAAGCTGGAAGGTGGTAAAAAGGAGGAGGAGGAGAGGGTCTCCAGGCTGGGCAGCAAAGGAACTGAGGAGCCTGAGTGGCGCCTGGTCTCAGACCACAGCCTCTGACGGGGAAGGCTTGGTGACAGGTTTGGGGCCACTGATCCCTGGCAAAGACTCTGCTCTGTTTATCTGGGAAGAAAGAGCTGTCGCAGTTGTCCACTGAAGCAAATCTTATTTTAGAACCAAATTTGAGGTATTTTGGGTATGGGTCATGTTGGTGAATTTTATGGGCTGAACTGTGTCCCCCCCAAAATTCATACACTGGAGTCCTGACGCCCAGCACCCCAGGATGTGGCCTTATTTGGAGATAGTCTTTAAAGAGATGATCAAGGTGAAATGAGGTCCTTAGGGTGGGTCCTACTCCAGTCTGACTGGTGTCCTTATAAGAAGAGGAGATGAGGACACAGACACACACAGAGGGACGGCCAGATGAGGACGCAGGGAGAAGACAGCGTCTACACTCCAAGGAGAGAGGCCTCGGAGGAACCAAACCCGCCGACAGCTGGATCTCGGACTTCTGGCCTCCAGGCTTTGAGAGAATAAATTTCTGTTGATTACGTCACCCAGTCTGTGGTACCTTGGCACGGCAGCCACAGGACACCAAGACAGTGCATGACAAACACTGATATAAACACCAAGAAATGTACCCCTTTGAAGGGCTGAATATTGGCCAGGTCGTGCAGCTCAGCACAAGACACCTAATAAATGTCGCCATCAACTGAGCCTGTTAAAAGTGCCCACATCCACACACTACCTCTCCTGACATTTTTCTTTACTTGTTTTCAAACAGTAAACGTGAAACTCAGACTCTCCGCATGCAGGTTTGTGTGAGGAGTACAGGCAAGAACCAGGGGCCCAGACATCCTTCAGCTCCCAGCCCTGAGGAAGAAAGAGGGCTGCTGACAGGTGCCGCCAGACTCCCCAGCTCCTATCTCCCGCCCCCAGGTATATCCGGGAGTCCCTGGGGGAGCTCACAGGTGCTGAAGAAGGAGTCTGTCGGCACAGCTGCCAAGCTTCCTCGCTGAGCCCACTGCCCTTCTCTGTCCCTCGCTGGAGAGGCCTCAGGTGGCTTTGCCAACCTGCCATCTGGAGGAAGGCCAGGCACCCACCTGGGGTCACCACCCAGTGCTCCCATCGCCTCTAGTGCTCCCAACACAGAGCAAGGGTGGGGCGTCTTCTCCACTCTGAGCCACCTTGTCACCTGGTCTCGGGGGCTCACAAAGTCCTGCACACAGCCATAACTGCTCCCTCCTCCTTCAGGCCCCAGATCAGTCCGAGGAGCTGTGGAGGGCGGAGGTGGGGAACACAGGCACCCATTTCCACCCGCACTCAGAGCCCCTCTGCCTCCAGCCCCCCCCCACTGAAAGCCTGTCGTCAGCATTTGCACACGCCGAGACCACAATCAGGAATCCCAAGAAGATCAACCAAAATCCTAGTACACAAGAAGGGAATTCAGCAAGGTGGCTGAGCTCAAAGACAAAGTTCTGCCGTCAGTAGCTTTTGTTTCTGCCGACACCACTGAGATGTGATGGGGGAAATGTCCCCTTTATAGGACAATGGCAACAAAGCACAAAACATCTCGGAAGACACTTACAAGAACCTTCCTATACCATCAAGGGGCACAGAAAGAGGCTGGAACGGGTGGAAAGGCGAGCCCTGGCCTTGAATGGAAACAGTCAACGGCACACGGATGCCAGTCTCCCTAAATTAGTCCGCAGAGGGATCACGATCTCATTAAAATCACAAAAAGGATATTTCAGGGAGACATGAATGGATTCTAACATTCATGTGGAAAAACAAACATTCAGGAGTGACTAACAAAATCCTAAAAGAGCAATGGGATTATAACCTGTTAGAGAGCCGCAGTCATGCAACCAGCCAGGTGGTACCACTGGATTTCAGACAGGGATCGAAGATGTAAACGGTAAGGCCAGTCTGGCCCTGAAACATCTGGGCATTGACGCATGGGAAAAGTGGAGGATGGGATGACTGGGAGAGTCGGAGGATTATGGCAATGGTGTGGGGACACCATCTGGGGAAAAAAAGGTTGGAATCATTGCACACACACACAAAAAGGAATCAAAGATGTAAACATGAAAAATGAAATTATGAAACTACTAGAAGACGCCATGTGAGAATTTCAATTGTCTTAGAGTGGGGGTAAGGCCTTTGTAAGTGTGACACAAAAATCCAGACCTATAAATGGAAAAACAGATAAATTCAACTAAAAATGTCAGTTTTTTAAAAGCATCATAAAGAAAATTAAAAAGTAAAAGTTAAGCTGGAAAAGCTATGTGCCACTCCTTCCCCCAGTCCAGCCTGCCTCCTCCAGGAAGCTCTCCTGGCTGGCTGTCCAGCCCCCCGAGGCTGATTCCCCCTGAACTCCCAGGGCAGGCGTGTCTGCAGGACCCCGGTGCTGTTAGTCATGCGCTGCCTTGTTCTGCCATTTGCTGTCACTTGTTTGTGTAGAC